GCTTGTGCTATCCACTCGATGATTGATCTTGTAGCGTCCATGTCCTGTAGAGATATCTACATGCATTTAGCGAAGAAAGTATGTTAGCTGAGCAGATGGGGAATCTGTTCCACTAAGATATTGAACAAAATTGAAAGATATATAGACTAGTTAGAATTTTAAAGTTCTTCTCACATTGTGTGAGTTAAGATTTATCAATGAAAAGTAATCTTTCTGTTTTTCATTTGTGGTGTAACTAATATTGGTTTGTTTGGTGATTTTATATCCAAAATGGCTGCTTTGATGTTTTCAGACATTGCTACTGACATCCCATCAATTCACTAAGCCCCTTCCACACAGTTGTATAACATCCACATTGAACTGGATTATATGACAGTGTGAACTCAGATAACCCAGTTAAAAGCAGATATTGTGGGTTATCTACCTTGATATTCTGTGTGTTAGGGCTCTAAGATTTATCCTTAGTGCTTATGAAAATTGTACAGATGATTATGTGCAAATGAGCTCATAGTGCTTGTGCCTGAATAAGTTGGTGGTTCTTGTTTTTGTGAACATGTTTCCAATAACCATGTTGATATTAACCTTTCTTGAGTGATGCATGTGGTGCTCCTCTTGTCTCTGCTTAGGAGAGCTTTTTGCCCAAGCACCAATAGATCAATATCCTGGCATTGCTGTGGAGACGGTGACTGATTCCAGCCGGTACTTTGTCATCCGGATTCAAGATGGCAATGGTGAGACAGGCTTTAGTACTTCTCTACTGTAACAGCGGGGCCTTAAAAGGATTCTGATACTTGGGTGGGGTTGAATGACCAACAGATTGCTGGGGATATATATGTATGGGGAATATTATAATGTGTTGCTTTCTAAACAGATTTTTTTTCAAATTCTGTTACATAATGGGAGAGGTATCAGCATTAATCTGGTTTTGTTGCCATAGAGCAGGGATATGTTTCTCCATAGGGCTCTTCAGCCCTAGCCAACATAACAACAACAACAACAACAACGCCAACAAGTCAAACTACTCTGGGACTTCTGAATTCAAACAGACAGAGTTTAGGAGCACATTACTCCTGACCTCATGATCATGTTAAAAAACAAAGTATAGATCGTTGATGTTGCAATCCCAGGTGACAGCAGGATTGAAGAGAAACAACTGGAAAACCTGGCATGATATGAGGATTTAAAGATCGAACTGCAAAGACTCTGGCACAAGCCAGTAAAGGTGGTCCCAGTGGTGATCAGCACACTGGGTACCATGCCTAAAGACCTTGGCCTGCACTTAAACACAATTGGCGCTGACAAAATTACCATCTGCCAGCTGCAGAAGGCCACCTTACTGGGATCTGCACACATTATTCGCCGATACATCACACAGTTCTAGACACTTGGGAAGTGTCTGATCCAATACATGATCCAATACAACAGTATGATCCAATACAACAGCCAGCAGAGTGATCTTGTTTGCTGTGGACTCATCTTGTTGTGTTTAAAATAATAATAATAATAATAATAATAATAATAATAATAATAATAATAGCAGCCAAGGGTGAAAAATAATAAGAGTTGCAGTCCAGCAAGATCTAGAAAGTTTCATGTTCTTGTGGCATATCCCTTACTCCTCTCTTGTGTTGGGTGGGGTGATTTCCACTTATCCCAACTATTGCCACTAAAAGTGGGGATTTCCTGCTTATCTTTCCCATCTCTGCCACCAACTGTGAGGTTTTCCACTTATCTCCACTTCTGCCACCAGTATGAGGACACCCTCCAGTCCCACTAGTGTCGTCAAATGTGGGGGTCTTTTACATGCCCTCATAGTTCTTGTGCAACTTTATTCATCTTATTTCTCCACCGGACACCACCACACTGTATTAATTGCTCCCATCCCAGACTCTGTGTGTGAACTCAAACTTTCCAGTAGGTAGTGTTCTCAGAGGCACAATGGTATAATACAGAAATAATTGTGCATTATGCAGAAATGTAACATAGCATCAAAAATTGCTTACTTAATACCTTTATGTCATATCTCTCATGCTCCTATACTAACTAATCTGAATCTATATGGCAGAATTAATGCATTTTAGCATCAGTTTGACTACTGTGGCTCAGTGCCATGGAATCATCAAACTGGTAGTTTTATAAGCGTAGCCATCTCTGTCAAAGAGTACTCATGCCTCACTAAGCTCTACCTACAGGGATTCTATAGCACTGTGCCATGGCAGTTAACAAAGTGTCAAACTGCATAAATTTTACAGTGTGTATATTATACCCTAACTGATTTTAGCTTTGATCCTAACTTTTCTATTCTCTCAAACCCTACAAACTCAATGCCTAAACCTCATTCGGATGGACTTCACTGTCACCCTAATAGCTGTCAAGCTCAGCAGCCTTTTGCAACATCCCTTCAGACTTTCCACCAATCAGCATTTACTCCCAACGATCCATTCTCTCATCGCCTCCTAACAGATCCTTGCTTCATTCCATCTGCTATACTTTACATACACAACTGCTTTACTTTAATAGAGCTGTTAAAGGCTAAAACCTCCCAACCCTCTGCAAAAAGTTCAAAACATCAGAGAAGGCAAGCACCCTCTTCTGGAGGATTAAGCATTTTGATAAACAGAAAAACAAAAGACAAATGATGCAAGAGATCACAGCCATTAATCTATATAAATAATGTAATGTTTGTTTGTGGGATTAACCTAACTCAAAAACCACTGGATGAATTGACACAAAATTTGGACACTACACCCCTAACAGACCAACGAGTGACCATCACTCATAAAACCCTCCCAAAATATAGCGGAAAGGACTTAAAACCCCCAAAAAGGTAAATGACGATACAGCGCATGTGCAAAAATGATAGATCCCAGCATCCCCTTTAGGGGAGGAGGATGTTCCAAATGCACTGCTTTCAAGCTGCAAGCTTGCTTCTCCTTGGATTTCTTTGAGAGCATCCCAATCTGTACACATTTCCTATTTCCTATTTCTGGACTGCAACTCCCAGCAGTCCTCCAGATCGATAAGATACATAGATTAGGTAGAGATAAATAGTAGGTAGATAGATCACGCTGTGTCTGAGATTGGCTATCCATTGTGTGATATATTGTTGTTTTATTGTTTTAATTGTTGACCATTTATTACTGTTCTTATATGTTATTGTATTGTATGGGCACCAAGATGTGCCTTTTTGTAAGCCGCCCTGAGTCCCCCCTCGGGGGTTGAGAAGGGCGGGGTAGAAGTATACGAAATAAATCAGTCAGGAGGACTGCTGGGAGTTACAGTGCCAGAATAGGTAGAGAAGGAAGAAAGTGGAGAAAGAAAAAGAGAGGGGAAAGAAAGAAATAGGTAGAGAAGGAAGGAGAAAAGGAAAGAAAATGGGAGGGAAGGAAAGAAGAAAGGAAGGAGAGAAAGAAAGGAGGGAAGGTTGGCCACAGCAACGTGTGGCGGGTACAGCTAGTGCATAATAAAAGGGCTGCCGTTGCAAAAGGGAGTCTGTAGTGTATTGGATTAATGGAAGCTGCTCTAGTCCATATATTTGACTATCTTTGTGTTTGTGGGGATCTTTTCTCTCTCAACTAATTGTTCTTCTTTCCTTGTCAGGACGAAGTGCTTTTATCGGCATTGGTTTTGGAGACAGAGGGGATGCCTTTGACTTCAATGTGTCCCTGCAGGATCATTTCAAGTAAGTTTCCTATTTACTGTACCCTCTAGTCACATTTTTATGCACTAATCATATGCATCTGATCATTGCCCATCTAGGCCAGGGTGAGCAGGCTAAAACCTTTTTATTCAGGCAGGCTTTATAGAAGCATGTTTTTAAGATCAAGCCAAGGCATGCTGTGTGGTTTTAGCTAAATGAATACGTTTACATTGATTTAAGGGCTTTAATTGTTTATTTTTCATACTGTTAATGTTTTATTCTACTTTTTATGTTTTTTTATCTTTTATCCTTTAAATTATATTGTATTGGCTTTTCTGTGAGATGCTTTGAATCTCTTTTTAGAGAGATAAAGCAGGATATAAATAAAAATGATAAATAAAGTGTGCTCTAGGTCCCATTTTGTAAATTTCTCTTGTACCGGGGGCTTGAAGTATAATTTTGCCATAGTTGTATAAGCCATTTTCTGTTAAAATAAATCACAGAAATTTGCAGGGGCCACAATGGAAATGTGGCCTGCATGGTCCCCCGTTTGAAACTGAGGAGCCTCATCTGCTGCTAGTTGCCTCCCCAGTGTACCCAAGTTTTTTCCAGTGGCAGAACTTCTAAGGATTGAACTTTTCCAAAGATTGATGCCTCAGCAGTGGAGATTGCAGGTCATGCACATGATTCCAGAGTAATGTATGTGCTTCCCTATTAAGCTGTAGCCCAGCATCTCAATACTACTGGCATTTAAACTTTTCAGCTGCTAGTTGTTGTTGTTTATTTCTTCAGCTGGCAAGGTTGGGTCCAAAGCACTTTGGGGATGGGATATATCAAATCTTCTAAGGGCACATGGAAGATAACTTTTTCCTCTCCTTTTGCTTGCTTTTTATGCTGACTGCTGTAATATATTTGTGTGATGGTTGCCCTTTAATGCAGTTTAAAGTCTTTAGCAATACATTATTCAGCTATGCGTCTCCTAAGCAGAAGGCACTGTCTCTAGAAACATATTACATAATGTTACTGCTCATCCAGGACGCCGAAGATGGAAAAATGCCGAGACACATACCCCCCCCCCCCCCCTCTCTCTCTCTCTCTCTCTCTGTCCTGTATGTCTAACAGGACAGAGAGAGAGAGAGAGAATGTTTGCCGTGTTCTGTGATCCGCTCTGAGTCTAAACAGAGGCTGGATGGCCATCTGCCAGGGGTGATTTGAATGCAATATTCCTGCTTCTTGGCAGGGGGTTGGACTGGATGGCCCAGAGGTCTCTTCCAACTCTTTGATTCTATGATTCCCCTTCGGGGTGAGAAGGATGAAATATAAATGCTGTATATAATAATAAATAGTAATCTGCACTGGATTTTTGTGATCTTCAGGGTTTAATTCAAACTGCTAGTATATTACTCACAGCACTGCTTCTTCCACTGTGGATCCGAACCCCAAATAGGGTCCTCTTAGCAGCTAGCTCAGTGTTAGGGGTCACAAAACTTTTGGCAAGAGTAAGCGTTTCTGAATGCTACCCATTTCCAGAAATTTGTTAGCAACAACATGTAGTGTTTACAGTGGACTCTTCAGAAGATGCTTCAGCTTTAATCCACAAAAAAGGAAAATGGACTTGAAAATGCTGATTTTTTAAAAATATCAGTAAATGTTTGCTTTTTATACCTGTTTTATATACCTGGGGTTCCGTAAAGAATTCCCGAGCGCAAAGGTGTTGTGAGTGGAGGAAGCTCTCATCTGCAGAGTCCTAAATGACCCGGGTCTTCTATGTTGTCCAGAACATAGTCTCTTTTGTAATGTGATCTCAGCTGCTCTGACCCCCGAGATCTTACATTTTTGTATTAAGTCTTTCTGGGAGCTGATACAGTACTCATAGAATCCCCTCTTCGTTTATCTTTAGTTCATTTTTTGGGAGACTTTTAAAATATAATAACATGAATGAGTGTTTTAAACATAGTCAGCAGTTTAAAATTTTAATGTTTATACTAGGATGATTTGTTGCTTGTCGAAATGTTTACATTTTATGTATGTCATATGTTTAATGGTTTTTAATTGATTTTAAGTTCATAGTTATATGTAGTAATTAATTATTATGATTTCTTTGTGTACTGTATGTTGGCATTGAATTTTTGCCATTAGTAAGTTGTAAACCGCCTTGAGACCCCCCAGGGGTGAAAAAGGTGGTATATAAATACAGTAAATAAATAAATGAATAAAATCATTTTGCTGTATATTTTTAAGTTGAATATATTGTGTTGAGTTCTTGCTGTAGATGTAATTAATAATGTTTGAATTAGTAAAAATAATCGATATAGAGAGCACTCTCTTTCCCTACATTAAAGAGTGGTGAAACAGGCTGCCTTGGCACAGATGGTGTGGCTGCTTCCCCAAGATGTGGGGGCTAGGTATTCTGTCTGCACATTTCCACTGACTCCTTAGCACATACAGATTTTGACTGAAATAACTGTCTATGTGATGTTGAAGATATCATTTGAATTTGCCATACTAGCTAGGTTGGGAATCCTGCATGATGCAATAGGGTATACAGTGTGAATGGACCCCCCCCCCCCCCCAAATGCCAGTGCCCTGTGTTTAAATAGCTACAGGCAGGGTGTGGTCCTCCTTCATTTGCATTTACTCCCTCTCTTCTCCCTTTCCTTTCTCATTTTTTTCTGTCTCATGACAGCCTCTTCTGCTCTGTGAAGCTGTACAGTTTTTCAGAAGGAAAGGGGAAACACTCTTCCATGGAGTATTCTTTTTAAAAAGAGTCATTTCCCACCCAAACAGATTTTAGAGCAGGGTTTTGCAGCAAATCATTCCAAGTTTTGAGCAAAGTTTTCCAAACACGTCATGTTGGTGACAAACCTTTTAGACTTGCATCATTTCACAACACAGTAATGCAATTTTACTAGAACACCAGTGGTTCAACTAGACCCTTATGAGAAATGAAAACATATACACAAATTTTAATAATGAAATGTATGGAGACACAACGTATCTCATGAAAACCTTGCATTTATATTCTTAAATATATATGATTTTTTTGCTTATTTTGCATAGACTCATTATTTATTTATTTATTTATTTACAGCTTTTATATTCCGCCCTACTCACCCCACAGGGGACTCAGGGCAGATTACAGTGTACACATATATGGGAAACATTCAATGCCAATTTTTGACAACAAACATATACAGACAGAGGCTATTTAACTTTTTCTGGCCGCCAGGGGAGCTGTCGCTTTCATCGTCCATCTGCGACGCTGATGAAGCACTTCCGCATTCCCCACATGCTTCCCCGCTGGAATGCTTTGCTGGAGTCTTCTTTATGGCCTCATAAATCAGTTAATTTAGCCTCCCCACACTTTAAGGTGGTACCTAATTTTCCTACTTGACAGATGCAACTGTCTTTTGCAAAAAGTCGACAACAGGCTACACACAATTTGTTGGAAACCCACTCCAACCCGGGCTGGCTTTGAACTCATGACCTTTTGGTCAGAGTGATCTTAATGCAGCTGACACTCAGCCAGCTGCGCCACAATCCCGGTGCCCCTTCTGCGCTGTCATGTAATCCAGATTATCAAAGCAGATAATTTACTTTGTTGCTTTCAACTAGGTTATCTGACAGGTTATCTACAATCCAGTTGAAAGCAGATAATCTGTAGAAGTGCTGTTCTTGGCCTATAAATGCTGGTCTTGGCCTATAAAGCCCTATACGGTTCTGGCCCAGCCTACTTATCCGAATGTATCTCCCTCTACGTTCCACTTTGTGGTCTAAGATCTGCTGGGGAGGCCCTGCTCTCATTCCCACCAGCTTTGCAAATGCGTCTGGTGGGAATGAGGGACAGGGCCTCCTCAGTGGTGACCCCCCCCGCCCGTTTGTGAAATTAGCTCCTCAGCGAGATTAGATCAGTGTCCTCCCTCCTTTCCTTCAGGAAAAAAACTAAAATTGTGGTTCTGGAACCAGGCCTTTGGCTAGTGGATGCAGCAGCACTTTGGACATGGAATTGGACTTTATGACTGTTACGATAATTGGAAACGGATATGTGATTATGTGATTGTGTGATGATATAATTAATTGTTACTGTTTTTAACTTTTCATGTATTTAGGGTTTTATACTGGTGTTATTGATATTGTGGCATTGAATTGCTGCCTATGTTAGTCGGGGGGGGGGGGGTGTTGAGAAGGGCGGGGTAAAAATGCTGTAAATAATAAATAAATAAATAAAATAAGGGGCCTTAGAGGTGTCTCATTACATTTGTGCGACACACCTACACACTGCAGCCAGCACACTAAAATGTCATGACACACAGTTTGGAAAGCTCTGGTTTAGAGTATTGGATGTAGACCAGATAGTTAAGTATTTAAATTAGAAAGGGTAACTGGATGATCTTGTGCCAACTGCTTTCAGTCAACTAAACCACTTTCGCAAGTTGTGAGGCTTCGTCAGGATAAATTTGCCGAAGCTACCTCTGAACTCATTGGGCAATAATTATGGTCCAGATCTGAACAGACACCTTAATATACTTGCTGTTGTGCCATATCTTGCTGGGTCCCCTTCCACACATCTGAATAAAATCCCACAATATCTGCTTTGAACTGGAATATATGGCAGTATGGACTTAGAAAACCCAGTTTAAAACAGGTATTGTGTGATTTTCTGCCTTGACATTCTGGGTTATATGGCTGTGTGGAAGGTCCCTGGGATACTCTTTGGAGGAAAGATACTTGATGGACAGAAGGGATACTTTTGTGTTTTGATTTCCCCCCTGTAATCAATGTTTTCTCTTCTCTCTGTATGGACTCTTTCTGTTTTTTTTCCCCTTCTCAATATAGGTGGGTGAAACAAGAGTCCGAAATCTCTAAGGAATCACAAGAGACAGACAATCGTCCCAAGCTTGACCTCGGGTTTAAGGAAGGACAAACTATTAAATTAAACATTGGGGTGAGAGTCACATAGGCCTCATTTCCTACCCTGCCCAGTGCTTTATATGGTGAATTGTTAATCTATGAGATTCCTATTGAGTACATGTCTCTCTTTACAGAATATGCCAAGCAAAAGAGGTGGGCAACCCAAGCCGCGCACAACTGGATCGGGAGGACTAAGCCTGCTCCCGCCCCCTCCTGGGGGCAAAATTGCATCTCCTCCTGTTCCTCCTCCTTCCTCAACTGCCATTTCTAATCATGTGACACCTCCACCAGTGTTGAAATCCAGCACAGTAGGGGACACAGGTAACTGCCATGTGTGATTAAGGGAGGAAAACTGGAATAATCCTTTGGACATTGTGTTAGCTTTAAAGTAGTGCTTGAAAAAAGCATTGTATAAACCAGGCCCCAGAAGCTATACATTAGAGCTAGAAGTCAAAATATCCCTTGTTTCAGTGTCATTTCTTGTTGAAACCAAGTTTTTACTGTCATCTAGAACATGAGAACCATATTTGCATAGTTTTGTATATTGTTGTAAGAAACACAGGAAGAGTGTGAGCACTTTCATGATTTCACTTTCATGATTTCAGAGGCCTGGATTCAGAATAGATGTCTTGCCACAACACTATGGCTCCTTGTTGTACTGATCGTTTCTTGGCTGCCTTTCTCTTTGTATTGTCACCAGATATTGAGAACCAAATTGTTCAAAGCATCATTTGGCCTAGGTCTGAGCTCTGTTTCTTTTTCAAAGAGCTATGTAAGAATCTGGAGAAGGGCAAGGCTCTTGGAAAACCAGAAATCTCCATAGCTATTTGGAAGCATGACCCTTTTGGAGATTAATTGACATTCACACTATTTGGAATAATCATAACCTTTTGGAATAACCTTGTTAGAGATCATTGCCTTTAGTAAATTATGATCTTCCTGAGAAGAATTAAATATTCGCTTATGTCAATCTTTTACTCAATGGACGAGGGAGAGGGCCTTCTCTGTAGTGGCCCCTTGGCTCTGGAATTCGCTCCCCAGAAATATTAGGAAAGCCCCCCCCCCCGGCAATCTTCAGGAGGAGCCTGAAAACTTGGCTATTCCAATTTGCCTTCAATTATTCATTACATGATAATCTCTGACCAAACTCTGCATAAAATGCCCTCAGAAGCACTTCATTTTCTTGCTGGGCAATTAAATCCTACCTCATCTCTCGGAGCCCCTCCATGATATTTTACATTGCCCTATCTCCCAGTGTTTTAAAATTTTAATCTTTGAATTTGGCCCTGCCCATGGTGATCATTTTTAATGTTGTAATGTTTTGATTTTATATTGTTGTGTCGCTTATATACATTGTTTTTGTATTTTAGGTTATTTTATTTTTTGATTTTCTGTTGTGTTTTTGAGTTACATTGTGTATATTGTATTGATGGGCATGGCCGCATGTAAGCTGCCCCGAGTCCCCTTGGGAAGATGGTGGCGGGGTATAAATAAAGTTATTATTATTATTATTAAATATCCACAAATATTCATGCAAGGCAATTTAGGTTTCTCAGCTGTTAGGCTGATATACCTAGTTTTCTCTTTGAACTGTTAGGAACAAAGATATGCCAATGCATAAAATATATAGCAGATCTTCAGAAGTGTTATTTCACTCCCCCCCCCCCAAAAAAAAAAACCCTACTCTCACATAAAATATATTGCTCGCAAGAGACCAGAAATAAGTAGTCTTTGTTAAAAGTTAACCTAATTGATTTACTTACAAGCTTCATGTATTAGCATACAGGTACATTGCTTATTGGTTTCATGTTAACTAACACGCTCTTCAGTCTAATACATTACTGAACATTGACTTAATATAAACTGACTACTCACTGCAACATACTGTTCTATACTCAACTGACTTCATACATCAACTGATGCAAACATTAACTATATTGTACTATACTTCTGACACAAACGGACACTAACCGACATCAACCAACTTAACTGACTTCAGATTCAAACGGATTATAAAATGGAGTCTCACTCTGAACACTCTCAGATCTGGGTCACAAGGTCTGTAGTCCCTCCCAGAACTTCAAACAACATAGAGTTAAGGGAAAACTGCATACCAATATACACATGCAGTATAGTGTATTGGAGGACCATCATCCTCAGACTACGAGGAAGCGCCTAAGTAAGTAAATAATAGTGTAGGGGCAAAGTAAGCAATCTCAATTACATACATAATAAATAACTAGTATAACAGGCTTGTAGAAGGCTGCTAAGAATCTGGAGAAAGGCAATACTCTTGGGTCCTTCAAAAGCGGCAAAGCCTACCAGCAGAGGTAGGCTTTCTCCATGCAAACAGTGAGCTTAGTGAGGTCCAGTAAGCTTTGAATCCTGCTGTGTTGGGATTGTAGCCCAGCTTCTCTGTGAGTGGGTCCAAGTGGTTGAATGAGACAACAGTGTGGGCTTTTCTCATGACAAAGGCATTTCTGTTCAGGGCATCTAGCCCATGAGGGAAGTAGTATAATGACTATGGATCAGAGGTATAGATATACCTCTGATCATGGGGTGTATATCTCTGACATTAGCAGACAAGCACCTGATCATCTCTTCCCACTATCAAATGAGTAACGTCATAGTTTCTTGAGGTATGTACAATCCACATATAGTGCTTTACAATGTAGTCTTATATTTAACAATTTAGAGCAACTTTTAGCTGTTAGGTTACTCTCTATATATCATAGTGTGTTTGCTTTTAGTTTCCCTCATAAACAATAAATATACTTTCTTTTTGGTCACCTGTGACAAGTTTTCTGTAAACTGGAAGAAGGTTGATAATTCTCTTTCGGACTATTGATGTGATACACACTGTTTATACAGTTTATTGTGTCCAATGGTATGATAAAAGGGGCATGCCGATAACAGCTCTCAATTTTGTCACTCAAAACAGTCAGTCAAAACAGGCAGCAAGTCAAGAATGGAATAAGCCCACCCCACAACTTGCCTTTCTGCTGTTTCTCTATTGTAAATATTCCATCTATTTACCTAGCGCCCCCCCCCCCCCCCGCCCCACTTTTCACAACAAGAGTAGAATGGGAAATTTTGAGTTGGATAAGGGACATCTTGCTATTTTTGCACTAATTTGCTCAATTCATGACTGCTCCAGAGACGGCTGCAACTGCTGCACCTTTGAACTGTAGTGAGATCTGTTCTGTGCCAGGTTGGAAAGCCACAGCAGGTACTACATTGTTCTAGTATGGGAGTGTTATAAACAAATGTTTTGTTTTTTCACAGCATCAGATATTCTGCTAGACTTTGACTTGCCGCATCCTGTTTCAAATGTGTCTGTGCCTGCTGTGGTTCCAGCCACTACAGACTTGTGGGGAGACTTCAACACTGCATCAAGGTAAGTAGCTGTAAAAAGCTTGGGCTTAGCCATGGATGCGATACAGGGTCACTAAAGGATACTTCCAGGAATGTTCAGGTGGAGAAGCAATCATGGTCTGTGTATTTTAAAATGAATATATTCAACAAAGAATAAGCAGGTTTGTGGAATAAGACAGGCAGATCATGTAACTAGTGTTTCTCCACTCCAAATAAAGGGACGTTATGTCTCCTCTAATTTTTACATTGGACCTCTTTTCCTATAGGTTGAATCAATTACTCTGTGTCCTAGGTCACTTCTACACAGCTGTATAAAATCCAGATTATCTGCTTTGATCTGGATTACGCACTCTATGTGGGGTTGCTTTTGAAGACTGTTCGGAAGCTTCAACTGGTCCAACGGACGGCAGCCAGATTACTAACAGGAGCGGCGCACAGGGATACGACTCGACTTTTGCGCCAGCTCCACTGGCTGCCAGTTTGCGACCGGGCACAATTCAAAGTTCTGGCTTCAGTCCATAAACCCCTAAATGGTTCTGGCCCAACTTACCTGTCCAAACACATCTCCCCATATGAACCATCTAGGATGTTAAGATAGTCTGGGGAGGCCCTGCTCTTGACTCCGTCTGCATCACAAATACGTTTGACAGGGACGAGAGACAGGGCCTTCTCAGTGGTGGCCCCTCGGCTATGGAACGCCCTTCCTAGGGACATTAGATCAGCTACCTCCCTTTTGAGTTTCTGAAAAAAAGTGAAAACCTGGCTGTTCGAGCAGACATTTGAAAAGGCAATGTGACAGACATAGGAATATAGAACAATCGGCCTATGAGATCGGATTACGTTTTTATCTTGGAGACGAAATGATTTGCTTTTACTAATGTGTTATGGTCTTAATTGATATGTAAATGCTTTAAAAATGTTTTTATGATGTTGTTGGCATTGAATTGTTGCCTTGTGAACCGCCTCGAGTCGCCTGCGGGCTGAGAGGGGCGGTATAAAAATGTAGCAAATAATAAATAAACAAAGAATTTGCCAGTGTAGACTCATAATGTAGAATATCTGCTTTGACAGTTCAAAAGGGCCCCCTGGTCTCCAAAGCAGTGGAAAACAAGCTTGCTCCCTCCTCAATATGCTATCCTTTCAAAGATTTAAACATATTGATTATGTCTCCTCTTCCCTTTCTCTTTTCTATGCTAAATATAACTAACTCCCTGAACCACTCCTCGGGGCCCTTTCACACAGCCATATAACCCAGAATATCAAGGCAGATAATCAACAATCAATATCTGCTTTGAACTGGGTTAATTGAGTCCACACTTTCACATAATCCAGTTCAATGTGGATTTTATAGAGCTGTGTGGAAGGGGGCTCAGAGGGATCAGCTTCCAGATCACCATCTAAAGCAACCAAGAATTTTATTCATAACTGATTAAGATGCCTGTGTCAAACCTGAGGCCCATGGACTGAATACAGCTTGCCATGTCACTTGATATGGCTCTTAGGGCTTTTCCAGACAGCCATATAACCCGGAATATCAAGCCAGAAAATCCCACAATAACTGTTTTGAACTGGGTAATCTGAGTCCACACTGCCATATATTCTGGTCCAAAGCAGAAAATGTGGGATTTTATTCAGCTGTGTGGAAGGGGCCTCAGATGCTGGATTGCAACTCCTGTCTTCCTCATCATTAGACATCATGATTACAGCTGACAGAAGTTATTACATTGTAAAATCTGAAAGACTTCTGTTTGTTCTGTTTAGTCAGGACAGTGGAATTTGAATGTAGGTATAAGGCTTGTGGATATGATGTGTGATGTTAAAATGTGTGATGTTTAACCTTTCCCCAACCTCAGAGCCACAGTGCTGTTAGGCTGCAATTCCCATTAGCCCCAGTTTGCATGGCTGTTATCAAAAGTGGAGGGAGCTGTCATTCAGTAATATCTGGGGACCCAAACTGGATAAAAACTAAAGAGCACCAACCACTATGTAAAAATTATAGTTGACCCACTGTATCGATGGATTCAACAACCCTTTGAAGGCAACCATAAGTATGATGTGGACCAGGGATCCACAAACTTTTTAAACAGAGGGCTGGAATATAATTTGAAAACAGCATGAATGAATTCCTATGCACACTGCATATATCTTATTTGTAGTGGAAACGACACTTAAAAACAATACAATAATTAAAATGCAGTACAATTTTAACAAGTGTAAACTTACTAGTATTTCAATGGGAAGTGTGGGCCTGCTTTTAGCTGATGAGATAGGATTGTTGTTGTTATTGTGTGTTTTCAAGTCGTTTCAGACTTAGGTTGACCCTGAGCAAGTGTCAATGACCTTGGAGGGCTGTATCCCGTCTTAGTTTGAGGACCCCTGATGCGGACCTTAATTAAAATGAATTTGACACCCCTAAATTAAACTATTCCTATATTGGGTTGTTGTAGGTTTTTCCGGGCTATATGGCCATGTTCTGCTTTGAACTGGAATATATGGCAGTGTGGACTCAGATAACCCAGTTCAAAGCAGATATTGCGAGATTTTCTGCCTTGATATTCTGGAATATAGGGTTATGTGAACGGGCTTCAAGAGACCTGTTTCAGTATGTGATTTGCTTTTTCCCGCTTTTAAAACTTCCACTTTGAAGATGTTGATCAAGAAATGGGAAAGAGATATATAATAAAGGTCTGTGACAAGTACCAAAGACTGTCCCCATCCTGACTCCTTTCTGCTCTCTTTTCCCCAGCACAGCTCCCAACCAATCTTCCCAGCCACCCAATTGGGTCCAGTTCTGAAGAATCTTAGTTAAAGAAAGAAGAATGGACCAATGACCAAGGCTCAAGGGGATCCACATCAGATGGGCGTGAGCTGATGCCCTTAGCTCCTCCATCAGAATATGATTTTTGGACAATCCTCCTGGTTTTTTTGTTTTGTTTTTGTTTTTAATGTCTGCATTTGCATTGGTACACATAATTTTCTCTCATGGAACAGGACTGCAAATACCTTAGGGGAAATGCCCTGTGATAATGTTAGAAGAATGGGAGAGGGGAGAGTGTACCTCCTGCTTCATAATTGCCACTGTGGAAAGGAAAAAAAACGGATGCTGTGTTGGTTAGGAGAAGGCTGACCAGATTTGGGGTTTCTAGCCGAACTTGGTCCCTTTCTGTCCTCCTTTTTGGCATGGCAGGAATGATCTTGGCAGGGAGCCTGCAGGCAATAGGGAACCCTGGCAATTATACTTGATCCTTGTTTTTGTGTAGTAAACAAGGAGGGAAAAGAAAAGCCATTCCTAAAGACGTAATCCTGAAGCTGCCTTCTCTCTCTGGGAAAGGTTGCTTTGTCATTTTATGTTGATGATGGAACTAATTCAACTCTTCCTCAGATGTTATTTCCCCCTTCTTATCGGTGCAAGGGAAGTGGTAACCAGTCTGTGTATCAACCTTTGTATGGTGCAGTTTGACTTAGCTCACCGTTGTTTCACTCTGAATGCACACTACAAATCTCCCTGATTCCCCCACCTTTCCGGCAATGAAGGTACTTCGCAATTATTTAAAACTGGAAATGTGTAAGAAATGTCCCTAGAACGTGTAACCCCACCCCTTGCCTTCCATTTTCTCATAAAACAATAATAGAACAGTTTGGGTTCTTCTAGAAATCCTCTGAGGAGGTTGTGTGGATTGGGGCACTGACTCTTGACACCAATTTTATGTATATTTTGACACTTTGGATATAATCACAATGTGAAAACAACCCAGGCACTTAATTGACCGTTTGTTGACAATGGAAAGCTGCCACTACCTATCTGACCAAGGCAGGCAAAATGCCACTGCAGATTTCCAAAAATACATTTCAGAATTCGAGAGAATTAGCATTTGTACTTTCTGGTCAGCATGTTTACTTCCTTTACACACTTGTTATCTCTTCCTAGCAAGTGTTAGTGAAGAGCGAAGCTTCTCATTACTTACGCTGTGAATCATCCAGCTGGTCCAATGGTTAGGAAGGCTTAACTTTCATGTTCTTCCTACATTTCTCTCTGGGTAAAAAAAAAAAAAAAACTTACTTTGTGCGACTCTTAAAAAGTATTGCTAAAAACTCAGATTTGTAAATTTCACAGTAGGTGATCTTTGGTCATGCCAGTAGGTGGAAGCAGTAATCTTTCATATCAGCTAGAGGTCTGCATTTGTACACAATCACACAGCTGGTATGAGCCCACGGCTTGGTGCTTTTAGATCTGTGGGGCTAAATTAGAGCATATCTGAGTGGTCTCATGACATTTCCCCTTTGCTCATGACCCTGAAAATCTTGAATGCAGGGGGAGACCTAGTCCACTAGTAACTGGGAAGCAGAGACATATAAAAAGTTCTGAGAAGTTATATGCATATCTCACTAATTTGAAACATCTGCTGGGATTTGCTTTCTAAGGTTGTAAATGCTTTAAATGCTCAGTTATTCATCACCTTGACATCACTACTACTTTATTTCTAGGCTGATCTACACCTACAGCTAGACGTATTTTTGAGTCTTCATTATTTCACCCTTGGTTGATTGTGAATTGTTTTCCTTCCTCTTTTCGATGTGCGATGTTGTATAAACCAGGCCAGGGAATCTGCAGTCTGGCCGAATATTCTGTATGAGTGGCAGGTCCTATTATTTCAATAACTGTGTCCAAACCTCAAGGAGTTAGGTAACAATCTGAAGAGACTAATTAGGAGCTTCTCCTTCTGTTTCCTTTTTTGTTTTTTACAGCTAGTATTGTCAAGATAATATATTATGTACTGGCAAAAACTGAAATAAAATTTCATTTATATGTATATGAAGCATAAGATGTACTGGTTCAATAACAAATAAAATCAAGAATATAATTGCAGAAAGCATATATTGTTGATGTGTCTTTGTACTTTAAGCAATCTTTACACTTCTAAAGACATCTGGTTCAGACTTCAACTGCTGGGATCCCTCAGGAAGGCAGGTCTAAGTTGATGTACAGGGTGAGGCAGCATAACTTCCTTTTAAAAAATGTGTGCCATTCAATCGGTTGAAGACGTAGCAGAGTGCTAGTGGTCTTGTTCGAGAGGCGGGAGTATAAAGTTTTGTCCTGACACAATTCAGTCGCCATCATGCGTTGGAACAGTGAGGAGCGTGCTTTTGCCGTTGAGGCCTACTTTTTGAGCTGATTTGGAGTGGCCGGCCTGCTCTCCAGATTTGGTCCCTTGTGATTTTTTTCTATGGGGTTTTTTGAAGTCCCGTGTTTATGTGAACCGTCCAAGGACCCTACATGATTTGAAGACCAACATCCAGGAAGAAATTGCCAACATAACGCCTGCTATGCTGGCAAGAGTCATGACAAACGTGAGAAATCGGTTTACTCAGTGAATGGAGAATGGGGGATGTCACCTACCTAATTTGATCTTCAAAACTACATAAAACAAAACTTTAGGTATGTGCCTATATTATTGAAAAAATTCTGATTCATACAATGGGTTTTATTAAGTTTTGAAAAAAGGAAGTTATGCTGCCTCACCCTGTAGAATGGGATTGTGTCCTTAAGTGTGTGGAATAAACAGCCCAGATGAATAAGCAAGTCGAAGCAATAAAGATAGAAAGGCAATAAGATCATGGAGGCAGTTGTAGAATGGTTTATGTAAGATGCAAAGACAGGAAAGGATTCTTCTTGCTTAGGTAGAAGAATGAGAAACAACCATCCATGGAGCAAGGTTGGAAAGGTTGGAGCAAAGTAGAAAGGACATAGGAATACAATACGGTAATATGTTTTTGCCTGCTTATTTCCATTGTTTTCAATCCTGCATTATATTAGGCTGTTTTATTTTGCTTACCTACAATCTTGGAAAATAGGGTGGGATATAAATAGTTCAAAAATCCACAATACTTGCATAAACATCTTTGTCAGCATCTAGCTGAATGCAGAAGTTTTCCAACAGCATGAAGCAATACACTGCAGTACTTCCCATTCTTTATCCCCATCTGTGTTTCTGTGTCACATGGTTCCTTTAGGGGATTCCTTCTGCCCACAAACCTCTTTCCTCTTTGTATGGCTCTTAAAAAGCCATACAGACCTCACTACCTCTGAGGATGCTTGCCATAGATGCAGGCGAAACGTCAGGAGAGAATGCCTCTAGACCATGGCCTACAACAACCCATTCCCAACCAGCTTGTTCGTTTCTGCTTAAGATAGATTAGCACAGTTGTAGATCAGAAACTTTACCAGAGGGCTATGTTACTGGGAAGATTGCTGGGAGTGAGGTAGTGGATTCATCTCTCCACTATGACTATCTATCTATCTATCTATCTATCTATCTATCTATCTATCTATCTATCTATCTATCTATCTATCTATCTATCTATCTAAAAATGCTCTGTGCATAATTAGTACCTTAAAAGCAAAAGAACCAATGAACGAAATCACACCAAATTTGGCAACAAAACATCTCACGACACAAGGAGTGACCATCACTCAAAAAAAATATGATTTTGTCATTTGGGAGTTGTAGTTGCTGAAATTTTATCGTTCATCTACAATCAAAGCATTCTGAACTCCATCAACAATGGAATTGAACCAAACTTGGCACACAGAACTCCCATGACCACAGAAAATACTGGAAGGGTTTGGTGGGCATGGACCTTGAGTTTGGGAGTTGTAGTTCATCTACATCCAGAGAGCACTGTGGACTCAAACAATGATGGATCTGGACTAAACTTGGCACAAGCACTCAATACGCCCAAATATGAACACAGATGGCATTTGGGGGAAATAGACCTTGACATTTGGGAGTTGTAGTCACTGGGATTCACAGTTCACCTACAATCAAAGCGCATTCTGAACCCCAAGAACGACAGAATCAGGGTAAACGTCCCACACAGAAGCCCCATGACCAACAGAAAATACTTATCCAACTCCCTTCATCAGGGCAAGAAAACATAAAGTCCTCCTGACAAAGAGCCATCCAGCCATAGATATAGATAGACAGATAGATATGATTCACACACAGAGAGAGATAGTATCATAGATTTGAAAGGGACCCTTAAAGAAGGACATTGATATCTTGCATGTTCCAGGGTGGACAAACCAGACAATCTTCACATCAACACTGACAAAGAAACGGCAAGAACTACTGTTTACCCACAAGCAGAAAGAAATTACATATATTAGAAACCAACACTTTCTCATTACTTTATTTTCCAGATCACCAGGCTGGGCCACAGCAACACGTGGCAGGGGACAGCTAGTCTGTCTGTCTACCTATCTACCTATCTATCTATCATCTATCTATCTATCTATCTATCTATCTATCTATCTATCTAGTTACACTGGTATTTGTAAGAACCAGAATGCTACCCCAAGGGTTAACTTCTCTGCTGAGAAAAGATGACTAACTAATGATGGACAGAAATGTAGAACTGCCTACTCTTCTCCCAGAGGAAGTGGCCTGGAAAAAGCAGGAGGAGGAATGCTGAGAGAAGTATAAAACACAACCCTCCAAAATGTCTCCAAAGGGACAAATGCATGCACTGTCAGGATTCCAGCTAAGACGCCCTTTACGTACACAGAACTTGCTACCTCCACTTTAACTTGTATAGTTCTCAGCACAACCATCCCCCATGTATGTTCTCAGTCAGCCATTTATTGTGATATATGCAGCCAGTATGGCATGTTTATCTGATTGTTGGACCAAATCACTGGCAGACCAGGGTTTGAAACCCTGTTCAGCCCACCTGGTGACTTTGGGCAAGTCACACTTTTTCAACCTCAGAGGAAGGCCAGGGCAAACCCCGTCTTCCAAGAACACCCTATGATAGGGTTACAATGAGTCAGAAATGACTTCGAAACACATGGCATTATTATTTATTAAGATTCTTTTCCTAGCATTCAATCACTTAAAAATGGTAGTTCAATATTATTTGGGCTGGCATCCTATTAGCGATGTTTGGAAGCATGATTTCACATTAGGCTTGTCTATGTACTTTTTATCATTGCAGAAATTGGTTTTGCTTTCCTTCTGCAATTACACCATGTAACAAAATATGAAAAAAAAATTCTGGTCCTGGTTTCAAAGTGTTGTCATTGGAGTTTACGTCCCCCCCCCCCTCCCTTCTGTGGGAAAGCTTGATTCCACAACCCCTGCTATAATGAACCCTCCTCCGCAAATAACCTGTTTCTCCTTTATCTCACCCGAGCTTTTAATTTTTAATTAGTTTTTCTTTTAATCATTACATGTAGCTCGCCCATTGTCACTGTGATTGTGTTTATTGTAATTTTATATCATTATGCATTCACATGTTTTATGTAATTATGATGTTGTTGTTTATTGTCTGCATTTTCGGTTTTCATTTTCAGTTTTATTATGCTGTAATTTGTTGTTTGGGCTTGGCCTCATGTAAGCCGCCCCGAGTCCCCATCGAGGAGATGGTGGCAGGGTATAAATAAAGATTATTATTATTAAAGAGGGAGCAAGCTTGTTTTCTGTTTCCCTGGAGACTAGGACACGAAACAATGGCTTCAAACTACAAGAAAGGAGATTCCATCTGAACATGAAGAAGAACTTCCTGACTGTGAGAGCCGTTCAGCAGGGGAACTCTCTGCCCCAGAGTGTGGTGGAGGCTCCTTCTTTGGAAGCTTTTAAACAGAGGCTGGATGGCCATCTGTCAGGGGTGATTTGAATGCAATATTCCTGCTTCTTGGCAGGGGGGTGGACTGGATGGTCCATGAGGTCTCTTCCAACTCTGTGATGATGATGATGATGATGATGATGATTATTATTATTATTATTATTATTTTCTGTTTAATTGTGCAGTACTTGCTCCAGAAACTTCGTTTTTGTGGCTGCCACAAACTATGTAGAATTGGTTGAGACTGGATGAGATATTCATTGAAAAACTATGTGGAGGGATGACTACTCCAAGATCCCAGGTATAGCAATGGGCTTACTTTCCACGAATCTGTGCCCCATACATATTTTGTCTATTTACTTCTATTTTTCTGATATCCAGCTGTCGTCATACTCTAGGCAGGATGATAAAGTTGGGAAAAGGGAAAAGATCTCTACAATGAGCCAGCCATGTAATTCTCTCACAGGAAAACACATATATCTTTCAAACAAGCAAACAAGAAGCCCTTGAAAAACTGGATTGAACATGCTGTGAGGAGCTGGCACAAACAGGATTCTTTACAGCTATATACTATACCAGGGGTCCTCAAACTAAGGCCTGAGGGCCGGATACGGCCCTCCAAGGTCATTTACCCGGCCCTCGCTCAGGGTCAACCTAAGCCTGAAACGACTTGAAAGCACACAACAACAACAACAACAACAACAATTCTATCTCATCAGCCAAAAGCAGCCCACACTTCCCAATAAAATACTAATAAGTTTGTATTTGTTAAAATTGTTCTTCATTTTAATCATTGTATTGTTTTTAAGTGTTTTTTGCACTATAAATAAGATATGTGCTGTGTGCATAGGAATTCATTCATGTTTTTTTTCACCTGGCCCTCTGTTTAAAAAGTTTGAGGACCCCTATACTATACTGTTGAATTTCCCCTCTGAAATTTCCTAGGGTCAGCAAGAATACATATTACTTGCATCACATTGTGGCAACTAAGTTCTGTTTGATTGCTGTAACATCATTTCCAGTGATAGAAATGTTGACGGTGATTATTTATTCCCAGTTCCTTATTTGCACTGCATTTCAAAAGAAAGATGATTCAGTAAATCAAAGCCTCCATCCCCCAATATGCATGTCTGTGTCCTCCATGACTGGATTCCTTGAGATCTAGCTATTCTCTTCAATCAGAACAGTTGTTTGCATACATTGCTGGTTAATGCATGACAACCCCAAGTGACAACTGAAACTTAGGGGAAGGCAAGGTTGCGTTTGTACCCTTGAATCCACCTGAAGTATACACTAAAACAGTGGTTCCCAACCTCTTTTTTTTTGACCAGGGACCACTTTGAGTTTTTTGTTGTTAGCAAGGGCCACAACATTCAAGAATAATAAACTGTGTTAATCTAAACATAATCTTTAATCAAAACTTTTAACACTGCCATAAAACCTAAGCCAAATTTTATGTTGGGCCACATTCATAGCTGTCCTGGAACACAAATAGCGAGAGCATATGGCGCATAAGAGTAACAGGCTAGTATAGAATACATACTTGAATGCTTTTTCACAATTCATTTGGCATGGTATTGCAACAGGGGGCCCATCCAGACAGGCCCAAAATGCAAGATCTGTCTGAGTTTTTACCAAAGGCATCCAAATAGGATCTCTGGCAAAAATGTATTAATTTGGAATAACCTTGGTTATTCCAAATTAATTAATAAACAACAACAACAACACTTTATTTGTATTTTGCCCTATCTCCCCGAGGAAACTCGGGGTGGATTCCAGCATACACAAAGCAAACATTCGATGTCTAGAAACAACAAAACAAAATAAAGGTAAAGGCTTCTTCTTCCGGCTCTGAGGGGTGGTGCTAATCTTCAGCTCTGGGGGTTGGTGCTCATCTCCATTTCTAAGATGATGAGCTTGCATTGTCTGCAGACTCCTCCTAGGTCATGTGGCCAGCATGACTGCATGGAGGGTTGTTTACCTTCCTGCCAAGGAAGTACTTATTGATCTACTCACATTGGCATGTTTTCGAACTGATCAGTTGGCAGAAGCTGGGGCTAACAATGGGAGCTCACCCATCCCACATATTCAAACCACCAACCTTCCAGTCAGCAAGTTCAGCAGCTCAGCGGTTTAACCTGGTGCGCCACCACAGTCCCCCCCTGAAAGACACGGATGTAATGGGATACTGGGTCTGTGGGGACTCATTTCCAGGTAGCCCTGAGACTACTTGGGGGCGAGTCCCCATTTGCTATCCCAACCTTTTGGGCTCCTGGAGCCCAAAGGTCTGTGATGGCACTCACCCCCTTCCCCCATGTACCCTTAAAAAGAAAAGAAAATTTACCCAGCCACTATTATGGTTCTTCTCCTAATGTCCTGGCGCATCATTTTCTTGCACCAGGAGGTTCTTCTGGGGGGGCTTTGGGGGGGGGGCTGCATGCCATCCTGACAGTAATTGGAATGGCATGTATCCACCCTCTCCAGGAAAGCCTGGGTTCTGGGGGACTTAAATGACCAGGGGAGCATTTGCACAGCTAAAGCTTGTGCGCCAGCTGCGCCCGTACCTTGGGAAGTCTGACTTGGCCACAGTAGTCCACGCTCTGGTTACATCCCGTTTAGACTACTGCAATGCTCTCTACGTGGGGTTGCCTTTGAAGACGGCTCGGAAGCTTCAACTAGTCCAACGCTCGGCAGCCATGATTCTAACAGGAGCGGAGCGCAGGGAGCATACAACCCCCTGCTGCGCCAACTCCACTGGCTACCGATTTGCTACCGGGCTCAATTCAAAGTGCTGGCGTTGGCCTTTAAAGCCCTAAACGGTTCCGGCCCAAGCTACCTATCCGATCGCATCTCTGCCTATGAACCCACTAGGACTTTGAGATCTTCCGGGGAGGCCCTGCTCTCAATCCCGCCTGCAACACAGGCACGGTTGGCGGGGACGAGAGACAGGGCCTTCTCGGTGGTGGCCCCTCGGCTGTGGAACGCCCTTCCCACGGACATTAGACTAGCTCCATCATTAATGGTATTCCGCAAAAAAGTGAAAACCTGGTTGTTTGAGCAGGCGTTCGAATAGTCAGTGCAATGAATGTAATGAACATAGGAATGGAACAATGGATAACGGATCTGGATCATGTTTTTAGTGATGAGACGCTAGTGAATGGCTATTGGTGTTAATTGTATATTGTTGTTAATTGTATATTTTTCTTTAATATGTATGATGTTAACTGTCTTTTATACCGTGTGTTGGTAGCATTGAATTTTTGCTGTTCTTGTTAATCGCTGTGAGTCACCTAAGGGCTGAGAACAGCGGTATACAAATAAAGTAAATAAAATAAAAAATAAATTAAACCCACGCTGAAGTGGGTTTCTTAAACATGCTTTGGTGTGGGTTTAACTCCAGTCTTGAAGCATCCTCGGTCCTCTTGCTCTTTATTTTATTAGTTAATTTTACCAGCTTTTAATTTCTTCTGGCCAAACCATTTGCAGTTATAATGCATATTGTGTTGGTACGTCTGTACCAGAAGCTCCAACTTTATTTTCTTTCTATTAAATGTTTGCATGCATTCCAAGGCTTCAGGGATTTTGCAAAAGGTGACTTCCCTTGGTTTGCAGTCATGGGGCAAGCCACCTGTCTATCATTGTTAAGTTTGGATCTGCCCCTTCTCCCAGGGACATGGGAGGAGAGGGAGCCATTTTTGGTTAGGCTTACAGAAGGAAACCAAGCTATAGGACGTGGAGCTTCACCCACAGAAAAGCTTCACTTCTTAAGAATTCCAGGGAATTCCGGGGAGAACAGTCTCAAAGCTCTGGCAGGGAGCTTACAGCCTCTCAGCCTTACAGCATCTGAGGGAACCAGCCTCAGTTTCTTAATAAATTCTGGGGGAAAGCAGCTTTACAGACCCAAAGAACGCCAGCTGGAGAATCTACAAGCCTTTACTGGTAGGTCTACTCAGTGCTCAAGACGCAGTTTGAATCTGGTAGTAGAACCCACATCAGTAAGGCTTAGATAGTAGACAGCCTGGGAGAGGTTAAAAAGGGGGTTTCCTCTTAAAGTGAAAGAACAGTTATCGAAGACAGTTGCCTGTCCCTTGAGGACAAGAGTAAAGAAGCCACCAGTTGACTTAAAGCCTTGAAGCATTTGTTTGACTCATTGAAGATTTGAGAAGTATCTGTTTAATTTGTTCAATAAGAAAGGACTTTGTTAAATCATTAAAGACTCTAAGACCATTTCTACAGGAAAACCTTTGAGGGCCTCTCTTCGAGGCACCCTGGCTTCCCGCTGGGCACAAAGTGCATGTCCTATTCAAAGTCAATTGTTACAGACCCAGCGCGTGACAGAACACATATTACAGATAATACTCAGATATTTCTTGCCATAACATACTTTGATTATTCCATCCCTTTGTTGTCTACAAAATTCATGTCTGAGAACCACGCAATCGAGTTACATTATGATTTTTGTGTTGGGCTGCATTCATAGGCATACTGGACTATGTGTTAGCAACATATGCAATATATCTATTTTGCATACTTAACTTAAATGTAAGATCCATTTGATTTATTTATATATCACAATAAAAATATTATTCTCCAACATAGTGTTGAATATCTTGCATGCAGTCAATTAAACCCATTTCAGTTGCAGGTTTTAACAGTAAAATGTAGAGCAAGTCATAGAATAGAAATATAGAATTATAGAGCTGGAAAGGACCACAAGGGCAGCTAAATAAAGAAGGTTGGAGCAAAAAGAATTTTTTAGGACATAGCTGTTGCATGCATATGCATGACTGGAGGGGAAAAGAACAACAACACTTCCCTTTCCACAATGAAGTTCCTCTTTTGTTTTAACTTACACAGTTACGAACCTCTCCAAATTAAGAGACACCAAAAAATTCAAGCTTTCTTGGGACTCCAAATGTTTCTGCCATTCCTGACTGAATGAATATTGAAAGTAGGGAACTCGCTGAAGAGTTGGAAATTAATTTTTTTCAGTTCTACAGACCCAAACTGCAGTTTAAGCGTGTGTTTTGGCAAGGCTCCTTCTGAATCCAGATGGCATCGGAAATCACGTATGCTGAAGTGAAGTTTAATAAAACACCTCCACCTGCGAATCCAAAAGGTGAGGATGGGGATTTAGTGGAGTGGATAGTTAAGTGTATAGTGATCCGAAGAATGGAAAGTTTCAGTCAGGCATTGGAAATAAGATTATTGGTTTATTTCTGTAAATTTGTTTTGCTTTAAACAGATCAGATATAAGGAAATCCTAACCTTCCTATTTTCTGGAAGGATGAATGAATGAAAAGGTGCTTAGCAAATAGAAATCCAACGGTTATAGATTCTCTTACTATGAAAATGTAACATTGGTGAAAGTTTACTGCTGTCTGACTTTTATGTAGTTGTTGGACTTGGGAGCCTAGACAAGAAAATATTTTTGTTGATACTACCAACTGTGATTTTGGATACATTTTTTTTAAGTTTTAATAAAATTAAGCGAAGATGCCTTCATCCTTATTTATTTATCATGTGAGGGACAGGCCAAACAGTTACATTGCATTTTTAAAACAAACGAACGAACAAACAAAACAAAACACAAAGTTTGCATTCTTGGTAGTTGATTAAATGTCCTTTGACCAGTAGCTGGCCACTTGGAGTGCCTCTGGTGTTGCCGCAAGGAAGTCCTCCATTGTGCATGTGGCAGGGCTCAGGTTGCCTTCATCGTGAACCTGGCTAGTTGGTATCTAGTGTTGCTTTCCTGGGAGCTATGGAGAAGTCACTTGCAAGATCCATATTGCTTCCATACACATTGTTTCCAGGAACTGATTTTCAGAAGGCATCTATCCAGACTTGCTATGAGGAGAGGACTTTATCTTTGAAAAGAGGCAGAATCCTTTGATCCAGTTTTTTTTTCATATGTCAGAGATGCCTGAACACCAAAACAGTACTGAGAAAGAAAAAACAAATCTTTCTGCTATTTACATGTTACTCCTTTCACCTACGGATGTGAGAGCTGGACCATAGGGAAGGCTGAGTGAAGGAAGATAGATGCTTTTGAACTGTGGTGTTGGAGAAAAGTGCTGAGAGTGTCTTGGACCGTGAGAAGATCCAACCAGTCCATACTTCAAGAAATAAAGCCTGACTGCTCATTGGAGGGAAGGATAGTAGAGGCCAAAATGAAATACTTTGGCCACATCATGAGAAGAAAGGAAAATGGAAGGAAAAAGGAAGAGGGGCCGACCAAGGGCAAGATGGATGGATGGCATCCTTGAAGTGACTGGATTGACCTTGAAGAAGCTGGGGGTGGTGACGACTGACAGGGAGCTCTGGCGTGGATTGGTCCATGAAGTCACAAAGAGTCAGAAACGACTGAACGAATGAACAACAACGACCTTTCTTTGAAGTCAAAGTGAAAATTTAAAGCCTAAGAAACAAACTACAGGGCTCCAGAAATTGGTGTCTTGACTTACCAATTTCTGATAAGTTACCACTACTTTGTGCAATTATAAATGTCTGTCTCTGAAATGTATACATTTCTATGGACAGATCTCAGATGATACTAGATGTGGGCTTACTCAGGACAGAAAATCTTGTGTCTTGTGACATTTGTTCAGTCAAGCAAAAGTTATGATTTAAAATATAAAATTTCACATACACTATTTGATTTAATACCTAGTTCCAACAGACCTCACTACCTCTGAGGATGCTTGCCATAGATGCAGGCGAAACGTCAGGAGAGAATGCCTCTAGATCATGGCCATATAACTTGAAAAACCTACAACAACGCAGTGATTCTGGCCATGAAAGCCTTCAACAATACAATGCCAGAATACCCTGGCATTTACTGCTAAAGAAAAGAGATTTTGGTATTCTCTGTCAAGGCACAAGAGAACTAGTTATGGGAAGAGAGGTCAGAAAGGATATGCATAGCTGTCTATAGACACTTAGTAATCCTCACAACAAAGCTGGTAGCGATTGTTTTTCTGTCTCTTCCAAAAATGATTCATAATCATGAGGAGTTCCTGTATTATGGGTTTCACTGAGCAGAAATGTCCAAACTTGGACTTTCCTCCATCTGACTCATAATGATTTGTAGTAACAGATTTGCATTGGCTGTTAGTCATGTGCTCTGCTCTGGGGTAAGGTAACTCTTTCACTAACATATGCATGAGTTCCTCCAAATGTTCATTTTCCATCAGCCCTAGCCATCTTGACCGATGGTCAAGTATATCTGGAGGAGTAGATGAAGATCCACCAAGCCTAGCACTAAATTGATATCACTGACTTATCCACCAGCCAGCCAACAAATATTATGCATCTTGAGAATTCACAGCTTCAATTTTTAGGGCACACAACCTGATTATAAAAAGATGTACTTGCATGACAGTATTGAAAAGAAACAATAACCTTGCCATCCTTAAAATCATTTGGATTATGAATGCAATAGACTGTCGTTTGCAAGATGTGAACCTTAATCACAGTGTTGGCGTCTCTAAATTTTCAGCATCTTCAAAAAAGGAAACACCTCTGAGTCTATTCCAGAGAATTCCCTTCTGGTTTCCATGGGTGATGTCAGGAATATTGATGTTGCTGTCCATTGCGCTTCTTATTTGCATCTTTGGTGAGTACAAAAGAGTGGGAGTTGGCTGACAAGCAAAGAATAAATCCAGGAGAAAAGGCATATGTGAATTTTTAAAATAGTAGAAGAAGGACTCAGACTAACAGACTTACTGCTAGACTAACATGGATAAACGAATTCTCTCTCTCCAATGACCGAAAGGTGGGCTTCTTGGTTACCAACATGGCTCTTCTTGCCCATTATAAGGCTTGAATATGTGTTAACAAACCCCTCCCCAGTGTCAAGCACACTTGGAACTTTGTGTGCACAAAAACCTGCAAAGAGACATGCATACTTAGAAATAGGTGTGTGCACAATAATCATTTTGGTGAACTGGATTTGGGGGATTCAGGGAATTTGGTTGCCAAATCCATGAAAATGTGCTTGGCTTGGGGGGAGGGGGAGGGGAGGAAAGCAACTGCAGCCTTAGCCAATACAGATTACAGCAACCGGATGTTTTTGGCTAATGAGAGTTAATGGGGCTGACCGGCAGTCTATTATATTATTATTATTATTATTATTATTATTATTATTATTATTATTATTATTATTATAACTTTATTTGTACCCCGCTAGCATCTCCCGATGGATTCGATGCGGTTTACAATAGGCCGAAGCCCAGCACAATACAACAACACAACATCTAGCAAATAAAACAGTTAAGCAGAAAATAATAACAATGGCAATACGACAAGACATTATTAAAAACTGAGTCGGCCGAAGTAGGGGTACAAGGTTAAAAGTGCTGATGTGTCGGAGGGGTGTGGGATTATGATATAAGTGTGGTGTGCAGTGTGCGGTGATTTTGGTACTAAACCTACCTGAGGTGGAGGTGGTGTTGCACTCCAGGACAGGAAAAGCCCTCTGACTGTAAACACCACACCGTTGATTGGAAAACAATCCTTTTATTGAAGATAATTAAAAAGCAGCAAGTAAAAAGCACTTTAAAGAAATAGGTAAATCCAATTAGGTAAGCAGATAAGCAGGAGCAAAAATAGTCCAGGGTAAAGTTCAGCAAAGTCCATAAAAACAAAGTCCACACATCTCTAATATGATTCAGGAAACCAGGAAACATTAATCCAAGGCATGAGTAAGCATTCATACATTCCAAGAATCCGAACAAGAAATACTTAGACAAGAATCTTCCAAGCAAAGTTTCCATGAAACAAAGGACAAGAACTACACTTGATTCCAATGATGCTTCATCTGACTATATTTCCCATACTTTGAACTTTTTATCCCCTCGTTAAGCTATTCCACGCACTCAGGAATTGATTTCGTTTTACTTGAGATCTCCTTATCTTTTTCTGTCGGAGCCTGGCAGAATGCTGAAGGCACTGTTTGGCCTGTCTGTTTTGACTAATTTCCTCTCATCTATCTATTTGCTCATTAAGTCTCGCAGCTGGGCCAGGTGCCCAATTATTATCAAGCCCCAAATCCTAGGAACCCTCTGGTAGCAATTCAGGGAGTACACTATCATCCTCACACCCTTCAGGGACATTCTCATGGGAAACTACACTTTGCACAGTGCTCTCCTGGTCCTTCTCTGCATCAGTATCATTGACCAAACTATTGCCATCTTGAAATTCACTGGCATCACTTCCCACATCCAAACACCCTGATCCTGAAACACAATCACAGGCTGAACTCCACCAGGTGGCATGTGGGCATGGCAGCCTGCAAATCGGACAAGCTGTGACTCCTTCTCTTTTTCTTCCTCAGCAGCCTCCTCCATCCCTTCCTGAAGCCCCCCCCCAGTGCCTGCTTGAGGCAAATGGGAACTCGCTTTCCTAGAAGCACTTTGTGTGGTGTGGGCATTGAAGGAGCCTCTGTCCTCCTTCCCGGAGCATGACAGGAGTTGAGGTTTCTCTGTTGTTCTCACTTCCTTTCTGAGTCAATCAGAGGCCTGATTGACTGTGTCCATTCTCCTCCTATTTTGTGATGTGCACTTGGGACTTCAATTCCCAGAATCTCCTCTTGTGTGTTTTTTAATGTTATGGTAAAAACTAAAAATTTCACAAAAATCAGTGGATTGGTGAAACATTCTGAAACTTGGAAGGCTTGCAGTCATAAATGTGGCCTACAAGTAAGGCCTAAAGAGGACAGAGAAAGGAGCCTCTAAATTTTCTCCATTAGAAACTAGTCCAATGTGGGCTAGGCAAAACTACGGTGAGGTGGATCTGTAATTGGTTAAATGGACGAACCCAGAGGGTGCTCACCAATGCTTCCTATTCATCCTGGAAAGAAGTGACGAGCGGAGTGCCGCAGGGTTCCGTCCTGGGCCCGGTCCTGTTCAACATCTTTATTAATGACTTAGATGAAGGGTTAGAAGGCAGGATCATCAAGTTTGCAGACGACACCAAATTGGGAGGGATAGCCAATACTCCAGAGGACAGGAGCAGGATTAGAGAGATGGGCCAAAACTAACAAAATGAAGTTCAACAGTGACAAATGCAAGATACTCCACTTTGGTAGGAAAAACGAAATGCAAAGATACAGAATGGGGGATGCCTGGCTTGAGAGCAGTACGAGTGAAAAAGATCTTGGAGTCCTCATGGACAACAAGTTAAACATGAGCCAACAATGTGTGGCGGCAAAAAAAGCCAATGGGATTTTGGCCTGCATCAATAGGAGCATAGTGTCTAGATCTACGGGAAGTAATGCTACCCCTCTATTCTGCTTTGGTTAGACCACACCTGGAATATTGTGTCCAATTCTGGGCACCACAATTCAAGAGAGATATTGACAAGCTGGAATGTCCAGAGGAGGACGACTAAAATGATAAAGGGTCTGGAGAACAAGCCCTATGAGGAGCGGCTTAAGGAGCTGGGCATGTTTAGCCTGAAGAAGAGAAGGCTGAGAGGAGATATGATAGCCATGTATAAATATGTGAGAGGAAGTCATAGGGAGGAGGGAGCAAGCTTGTTTTCTGCTGCCCTGGAGACTAGGACGCGGAACAATGGCTTCAAACTACAAGAAAGGAGATTCCATCTGAACATGAGGAAGAACTTCCTGACTGTGAGAGCCATTCAGCAGTGGAACTCTCTGCCCCGGAGTGTGGTGGAGGCTCCTTCTTTGGAGACTTTTAAACAGAGGCTGGATGGCCATCTGTCAGGGGTGATTTGAATGTATTCCTGCTTCTTGGCAGGGGGTTGGACTGGATGGTCCATGAGGTCTCTTTGATTCTATGATTCTATGAATCTTACCAGAACCAAAACCGAATCCACTGTTGTACTCTAGCCTTGAGACACCTTTTTACCCAGTACCACACCAGAGTCCAGTAGTACTATCTACAAATGCTTATTAAGAAAAACATGTACAAAGGGAGAAAAGAGTATTTCCCAAAAGGCAGTAGAGAAGGAAATACAAAATAACAGCAATCCAAAAATGGCAAAGTACATGAAGTCAGGAGAGCCAAAATCTCAGGCATAAATCCATGAACATAAGAGCCAGAACTTTTTCCAAGGCAAACCCTTCCAAGAACATAGACAAACACAGGGAACTTGAATCATGAACTTGAGAGCCGAGACAGGAAAGCTATTCTTATGGCAATGATGTCTCCTCTGAGAGACACTAAGTAAACGTCACTTAATTTAATTCCAAGCTCAACCAAGAAGCCATGAGATCATGCCCAATGCACCTGACTTCAAGGACTTCTCATGGATTCTCTCAGAATGTTTAATTATGTTTTTAATTTTTAACTTGTGTTTTTAGCTGTTATTGTATTTTTAAGCACCATGAAGGTGCGACTGTAAGCCGCCTTGAGTCCCCCTCGGGGTAGAGAAAGGTGGGATATAAATAAGGTAAATAAATAAATAAATAGTCTATCTTTCACTCCCTCTGTCCTCAAACCTAATCTGGCTTCATGAAAAAGCTCCCCATCGGCTGAAGAGAAAATGTTGCTCCTGTATAAAGTATGTACTCAAATGCACAGCTGCAAGAGATTGTTGCTGCCATGAAATAAAACATGTGCATTTTCTTTGTAATATATCATCTATTGCACTCACAAACAATAATAAAAAATCTTTCTTTCATAGTTGTGACTTTATCTGATCTTGATAATCTCAAATTCTGTCCACGAAAAAGTCTCTTTTCAGGTCTCTATGCTATTTATTTGTCATGTCAGGGCAAACCAGTCAATTATATTACATTTCTAACAGAACAAAGCAAACAAACAGACAAAATACAAAATTTGTGAGTTTGGTAGTTGATTAAATGTCCTTTGACCAGTATATGGCCACTTGGAGTGCTTCTGGTGTTGCTGCAAGAAGGTCCTCCATGGTGCATGTGGCAGGGCTCAGGTTGCATTGTAGTACGTGGTCAGTGGTTTGCTCCTCTCCACACTCGCATGTCGAGGATTCCACTTTGTAGCCCCATTTCCTAAGGTCGGCTCTGCATCTTGTTGTGCCAGAGCGCAGTCTGTTCAGCGCCTTCCAAGTCACCCAGTCCTCTGTGTGCCCAGGGGGGAGTTTCTCATTTGGTATCAGCCATTGGTTGAGGTTCTGGGTTTGAGCCTGCCACTTTTGGACTCTTGCTTGCTGAGGTGTTCCAGCGAGTGTCTCTGTAGATCTTAGAAAACTGTGTTCTCTATGCTGAATACTGATCTATAATGTACCTCAGTGCTTGTAGGCACTGAGGTGTGTGTGCATGCTTGTATGTGCACAGTGTCATCCCCTGTGTAGCCCTACCAGTGTTGCGGGAAACACCTTACTTCATGTTAGTTGAATGTTTGCAAGGTGTTTAAGTTGAGTATCCTAGAAGTGAAATTAATCTATCACCCACTGGTGAATATGTCTTCTGCTCAGCCCTTCTGGAATAACTATTCTAAAATGCTTGACCTGTATAGTCTTCACCTGTAGACTCTTCATGATGTATCATCAAGGAATCCTAGTCTGATAAAGAGATATCTCTTTTGATGACAGGACTGTACCTTTGGTTGTCACATGCTTTCTTTGCAGGTCTTTCATCACCACCTATTGTGGTGATCTTTAAAAAAAGATTGCATCCCTGGTGTGGTAGCTTTAGGAAAACATCTTATGTGTATTGTGATTTATGTTTGTGCCTGTTTGACAGCAGATGATTGTGCTGTTTATCACACAATGCCATGACATACCAGTGGCATTCGGGCTTGCCATATCTTTTAATTAATGAGAGAACCCATCAATCGGCTCCTAAAAGTGCAACGTTCCAGCACAGACACTGGCGCAATTGGTAACTAGTACTGCTGTGGTGATATTGAGTGAATCCACATGGTGATGTGGGCATGTTGTGGGTATAACTTTTCTCTGTTCCATTTCTGTTCCGAAACTGCAGCCATTGAGCAGTGAGCAGGGAGAATCTCTGAGTGCATTGCCATTAGTTGTCCCTTGCACTCTGGTTGCCTGCAATTTAAGTACACAATTTCATACTTCTTTCCTCGAGCTCTTCTGCTTCTTCACTGTTGTCTATTTATTCCCTACAAGTATAATATACCCTCATATGGATGTGGCAACAGCATGTATTGGCTAACAAATATTGCTATGAAAGTGGATGTGACATGGTGTTTCCTTTCACTTCTATGGGTAGGGCCCAAGCCAATGGAATAAAATTGCAAGAAAAAGAGTTTATATTGAACTTCTTAAGAAGCTGTTCAGGAGAGAAACAGACTGCTTTGAAAAGTGATTGGATTCACCCTCTTTAGAGGCTTTTAAGCAAACGCAGGAAAATTGGATGGTGATATAATTTATCATTAGAAGGAAGGGAGATTGACACAATGGAAGAAAGGGGGTTGAAGTTCTGTGACATTGTGATACATTATGTAGCTGTCTTTTTTTTTTTTCCTAGTGCCCCTCCGGGGATGGCAGACAAAGACCTTCCTCAAGAGCCTACCTCAAAATTCTACAAATTTGCACTGTCTCCTGGAAACAGGTTAGTCATAGCTAAAGAGACAATCTGGTGGACAGGACAAATTATATTGCTTTTATAATGCTGTTTTAAATGTTTTAATTGTATATTGTGGATTGCATTCAAAAGGCCATAGTCCATACAACAAAGTTCTGTTCAAAAATGTCAAGGTATGGCGGGGGGGGGGGGGGGGGAAGGAATCAAAACATAGGCATAAATCCATAACCAGGAATACAGCAACTTCTTTCAAAACATGAGTCCATGAATATGAATATCAGATTTTCCCAAAGATCTTAGACATAGACATGAACATGGAACAAGGCCCAAGATCCACACAGTAACACAATGTTGCCTGATCTGATTCTTACAAAAACAATCCTTTAATTTAAGGACTACAAAGCCATAAAATCATGGTTTTGACATCTGCTCTGTTGCTTCAAGGATTTCTCACCCTGTTGTTTAATCACAAATTCACAATGACCTCTGTAATTTGGCTCCCTCCTCCCAGAGATAGTGTCCCAAACTCCTACTACCTGCAGGTGTGTTCTCAGGGGAAAATTCTCTCCCCTCCAACTCCTTATCTTTCATTGCTAAAGAATGACTAGGGGAACGATTCCCCTTATCGTCTGATGCTAAGGCAGAAGATACAGCTTTAGTTTTACAAAATGCCGGGGTCTTCATGTAGAAAAGAGAACGGATATGAACTTGACCATGTATGGGAAACAAAGACAGGTTTTGGTGCCAAAGATAGGTTTTTTTTATACAAGGGTGAAGTATCGGTCAGGAGACAGTGCTGACTTTGCAGAGAGGAACCAGCCAAAGGCTAAATTGAGTTGCCAGATCAGCAGATGTCTCCAGCTGTATCAGCATCTTGAGATGTTTCCAAAAAGGGCTTGCTTATTGAGAAGCGAAACCTAAAAGTGTATGATCTAATTGCTTAACATAAATATAATATTGACAGCTTTCTTAACCAATGATTTAATCTTTGGGGCGGCTCTTAAAGCCGAACCCCTTTGCATGTATAAAAGGAACACTAACCCTTTGTGCTGGGTGACTTCCCCAGAGACGTCCCGTTACGTCGGAAGTCATCTAGCAGCTGCTAAATAAAATACTTTGATTTCTTCTGAACCCTGTTGGCTGTTTTCCCTGACTCATCTGCGTCCGCAATCGGACTTGAACGGAGCATTTGGCTAAGCTCCTGAGCAATCGCTCAGGAGAGGAAAAAGTCTGCTTCAATGCCACAACATCTCCTTGTCTGCTCTGAATCAGTTTCACTCTCACTAGACACAGGCCCATAATCCCAGGAAGAACCCTGATCTAAAATCCCCTCATTTTCCTCACTGGAAAACCCATCAGTCCTTATAACCTCTGATAAAACAACCCCCTCGTCTTCAGCCTCTGGCTGAAATACAGCAATGTACCACCTAATCATCTATAAAATCCTTATCTCTCTCCCCCCCACCTCCACAAGACATATAATTCTTATTATTCGAGAATGAACTCCTGTTCATGTGGAGGAAGCCTAACAAGCTATTAATGTGGTCTAAACAAGCTTTCAAAGAACAAGGCATCCATGGAAGAAAAAAAATAAAAAAATGAAAAGAATGTTGAAATACTGGGGAAGAAATCACTAAGAAATTGTTTAAAAGATAATAATAATATGAAGTGATATGAAAATATAGCAAATAAAACTTCAAAACATATAATAGAGAACCTGACATAGGTAGTACTAATATTCGAAACAGAATTGATTTGAGTCATTAGCATTGAATTCAGGGTAAATTAAGTGTCCAACTTCATTGCATGTATTTGGTGAGAATAAGCAAGAATATCCTGTCATCTGAGGTTAATTATCTTGTGGCTGATAATCTTTTTAAAAATCATATAAAATATTGACTTATCTATGAAAGTAATAATTGTACTTTGGATTTTTTCACAGATTTCTTGCTACATTCATATGCAGAACAAAAAAACATTTTTATATCAATGCGAATAGTTTGTGATGTTAAAAGAACACGGAGAAAAGTGGGGATGTTTGGAATGGAAGTTGTCTCCCTTTTCTGTCCTTCACTCTCTAGTTAACTCTATGTTCTCACTACTCCTTATCTATGAGCGAGTTTTTTCCCCTCTCAATTGTCACCAGCCATGTAGATTCTGATTGTAATTTTTAAAATCTTTGTCACACTATATATTTACATACTGTATGTGATGCCTCTAGAAACACAAGAAATGCAAAATATTCACTGATAATAACTCATTCTTGAATTGCCCCCCTTAAACATCAAATTGCCTCCCCATGGGATGTGTGCCCTAGTTGGGAACCAAGGGTATAAATAAAACTGATTATTATTATTATTATTATTATTATTATTATTTTACCGACACAAAAACACAGTATGTCACAACAAATTAGATATATATGCTGGATTTCATATCACAAAATCACAAATCGAACACTTCCCAGTGTCTAGGACTGTGTAATGTACTTTCGAATGATGTGTTCAGATCCAAGTAAGGTGGTCTTTTGCAGTTGACAGATCATGATTTTGTCAATGTTTTTGTTTCCAAATGCCGGCTGAGATCTTTTGGCCTGGCACCCAGTGTGCCGATGACCACTGGGACCACCTGTACTGGTTTATGCCCGAGCCTTTGCAATTCGATTTTGAGGTCCTGATAATGGCTGAGTTCTTCCTGTTGTTTTTCCTCAATGCGACTGTCACCTGGTATGGCGACATCAATAATCCAAACTTTTTTCATTTGCATAATCATGATGTCTGGTGTATTGTGTTCCAAAACTTTGCCAGTCTGGATTTGAAAGTCCCACAGTATTTTTCTGTGTTCATTTCCCACTACCTATGCAGGTTTATGATCCCACCAATTCTTTACTGCTGGCAGGTGGTACTTGTGATATAAGTTCCAGTGAATCATTTGGGCCACAGGACTCCCCGGTGGTGCAGTGGGTTAAACCCCTGTGCCGGCAGGACTAAAGACCGACAGGTCGCAGGTTCGAATTCGGGGAGAGGTGGATGAGCTCCCTCTGTCAGCTCCAGCTCCTCATGCGGGGACATGAGAGAAGCCTTCCATAAGGATGATAAAAACATCAAATCATCCGGACATCCCCTGGGCAAAGTCCTTGCAGACAGCCAATTCTCGCGCACCAGAAGTGACTTGCAGTTTCTCAGATCGCTCCTGACACGACAAAAAAAAATTGGGCCACAGAGTTGCACCTCTGTTATTATTATTATTATTATTATTATTATTATTATTATTATTATTATTACCTCGCTTTTTCTCTTCACAAGGAGATTCATTGTGATAATGGTGGTGGTGATGGTGATGATTAAGGCTGAGCATTGACTGGGAAAGATCCATGAGTAATACAAAAATTGGCTCCTTGTCTAAAAGAAAGAAAAATAATTGTATAATTTTCATATTTGGTGTAGGACAAAACAATCTTCTGATTTTTTTTTGTGCATTCCTTATGGGTAAACCTATGGCCAACTGTCAAGATAATGACTTGCAATTCACAATTTATTACTACATGTGTGCATGTGATTAAGAAAATAGTAGGTTATAGACCTGGAGAGAAAAATCATTAGATCCCACTTGCAAACAAAACCTTCTGGTTTTTCTCTTTATTTCTTTTCTCCCTTACAGAACAAAAGCTGTCATGTTGTAAAGAAGGCTGGAAGCAATTTCAGTCCAGCTGCTACTATTTCTCTACGGCTACGCAGAAATCTACCTGGAATAACAGTAGGCTGAAGTGTATGGAGATGAAATCTGACTTGGTTGTGATAAATGTAGAAGCTGAGCAGGTGATTCACAACAGATCAAATTGTCCTGGAAGTTGAGGGACTCGCCCGCACCCCCAGCTCTGCTTGCTTAAAAAGAATGGAATTTATTCTTGTCGTCAGTATCAGATTTATTGACTTGCCATGAAGAGCGCCTCATATGGCCACCTATATGCCAAATAGCCTATTTTATTTTGGGAGCATTATGCCAAATGTGGGGATAGTGATGTGGTCTATTGCTGTTTCCCCTTTGAAACTGGAGAGTGTGTCTAGCACTGGTATTAGATGCCCACAAACATGCTAATTCTATGGGATGCACTTTCCATTTTAAGAATGTTCTAAGATTTTACTTATCTGAGCATTGATTCAAATTTCCATGTAGGACTTCCTGACAAATCAGACAAAAAATCTGCGTGAAATTACCAATTTTTGTATCGGCCTCACTGAGCAAGAGAAGAAAGGTGAATGGCGATGGGTAGATCGGACTACTATTAACTCCACCAGAACGTAAGTGATAGTAGTAATGGTCATAGTAATATTTATTATTTATATGGAACTTTTTGAGTTATAAATCTAGTTACTGGTTCTATTGAAAGTGGACCTATTTGATCAGTGGAACTCACACAAGTGTTGACTAGATAGGTTCATGTTGATACAATGTGTTTATGGCAGGTACTCTAACTCTAGTTGCAATTGTGAATCACCCTGCGGCTTATAGTAGGAGAGGGTGGGAGAGCCTTCATCTTTCCTCTTACCAGGGAATCCAATCTCTTTGGCTAATGTGGTTGTTTAGTTTCTAAAGTAGGTTTAGAGGAGGGCCAAATAGAGAAGCAGACACTGGCATAACTATCTATCCTCTATCTATCTATCTATCTATCTATCTATCTATCTATCTATCTATCCATCCATCTTCCATATTTCTCAGCCACAGGCACAAAACTGCAACTCTTTCTGTGTCTTTCAGCATCTCTCTCTCTCTCTCTCTCTCTCTCTCTCTCCCTCGCCATTGTCTCTTTCACATATCAGATTTTAGTCCTGCATCCTTTTTTCATAAACATCTTTGTTACAGATTCTGGAGAGAGGGCGAACCCAGCGAGGGCGACGAGCACTGTGTTGTTATGCATATAGAAGGAAGACCAGAAAACAATCACAAGAATAACTGGAATAATGTCAGATGCAGCCATGCATTCCACCACTATATTTGTGAATCCAAGACATTTGTTTTCGATTGTGGATTTTAATTTCCATCAAAACTGTGACAGCGGAAAGATGGGGCAAAGAGGCCAAACACATATTTCAATGACTGGGACAGGGTGGGGGATGCATCCAGTCTTCGTTGTACCTAGGACAGCCATGCACCTTAATTTCACACATGTATTCTCTTTCTCTTGCTGGAAATAATGTTGTGTAGAATTTTTCAAAAAAATTATTGCCAAGTTCAGTGGCAAAAAACCCTATATTTGTGTTAGCCTATTATTAATCATACAACTGGCTTTTGAACGATCTCTTTAGAGTAGCAGAGAGAACATGGTGCAGTATGGTTTTACTGGGATTGGGATGCCCTCCATCTAGCTTACTTGTCACTACGCAGGAGCCATTTGACCTCATCATACACTTACCTCCCATATCTCAACCTAAAACTATTTTCCCATTATCCATCTTGATCCTAATAGATTTCTGGCACTTATCTAGAACTGACCTTCTAAAACAAAACTTCCATGATTCCGTGGCTGTTAAAATGGTGTCAAACGGCATTAATTCTATAATGTACGAGGGGTATTTTTTAAGTGAGGTCCGTTTTGTTGTAGACACTAGTAGTTAGCGTGCATACCGCAACGAGCATATGCGTCGTGTACCAGCATGCCTCGGGAACAACTGTGCTCAGTTTCCGCTCTGTAGCTAACCTGTATGGTTCTGTTATGTGCTTTAAAAATATTTAAGACTATCAACTCACCCACCGCATGTGAGGTTCACTCAGTGATACGGTTTTTGCCAGCAAGGAATCTGCCTCCTGCAGAAATTCATCGGCAGATTTGTGAAGTGTACGGTGATATTGTTATGAGTGAAAGCAAAGTGTGTAAGTGGGTACGACAATTCAAAGATGGCTGTGACAACGTCCATGATGAGGACCACTCCCTTCTTTGATGATGACGACGTGAAAACAGCAGTGAACTCTTGGTTATTGGAGCAGGCGGCAAGTTTTTATGAAGAGGGTATTTTAAAATTGGTTCAGAGGTATGATAAGTGTTTGAACAAACTTGGCAACTATGTCGAAAAATAGAGTGAAGTATGTACTTTCTGAAAATAAATTTACTTCTTTGAAATAAACTTTCATTGTGTACTTATGTTCCAACGGACCTTACTTAAAAAATACCCCTCGTAGATGCACTCATATAATCTGCTCTGTATCATTCTAGATTTGATGGAGACTATTTACATCCCATGGATTGAAATGCATTGAAATCTCATTTTGAAATCAACAAAACTGAAAGGAGATATTTAAATTGACTGGAATAGAAAGTACTTAAATTCAGGCAAACTGAGTGTATTTTCTGTTAATTTGTGAACAGAAACAGAGAAAATCAAGTGTGTCATTGAATAATCATGAACAATTTTATTAAGGATCATAGTTACATTATAGACATAAAAAATGAAAAGAAGCAATCAAATAAATGCCCGTCCCTCAATATTAGCAAGCAAAATGGCCCTTTACAAAATCAGGAAAGATGTTCCTATCCCTAAGACACATCAGAATACAACATTGCTGATTACAGAGCTGAGTACTCGATAGTAACAGCAGGCAAAATGTCAGGAGAGAATGCTTCTAGAACATGGCCATATAGCCCGAAAAGCCTACAACATCCCAGTGATTCCAGCCATGAAAGCCTTCAACAACTACTGTTTATCAGATGACAATTCTGTGTTTTTGTATTTCTGAAGTATGTGTTACAGTGAGACCAAATATTATCAATTAGCATTATTTCATATTAGTTTCTAGCAACAGATCTTTATTTTAAAAAAGCAGCAGCTGGATGCCCTAACCCAGATTCATTCACCAAATTATTGAAATTCATTGATTGTGAAGTTCATTCATTTTCATCTTGTGTTCCAGTTCATTCACTGTCTCCAAAGTCAAGCAGGCTGTACTCCCTAGAGTTGGTTCAAGGGCCAAATCAATCTGTTGACTTACTGTCATATCTGGCTTCCTATGGAGATGTGTACTGCTTCATTGGATTCTCGGTCCACACAGGGAAAGATCTGGACAACTTCTGAGAAAGTTCATTTGTAATAGGCCACTTCCAGGCTTTAAAGAAAGGGGCCAAGTTTTTCTTCACTTGCTCAGAGTACTTCTCTGCCCATAGATTCATCTTGGAGTCATTATCTTCAGGAATGTTGGTCATTTTTTGATATTCAGCAAAGATGTGCATTAAGGGCTCCCATCCAAATGCCTCCTGCAGCTAAGGAGAAGAAGTGCATATTTAGTCCTTTTTCTAACTACCTGAATGGGAGAAGCCTCCCACAAGGATGATAAAACATCAAAACATCCGGGCGTCCCCTGGGCAACGTCCTTGCAGACGGCCAGTTCTCTCACACCAGAAGTGACTTGTAGTTTCTCAAGTCACTCCTGACACGACAAAAAAACAACTACCTGAATGATGAGTTCAATGTGCAAAGTGAAGTTGTGGAATTGCTGTCCCACTGATACCTATCTGAAAAACTGTGTTTATATCACTCCAAAAGAGATGGTTCACCCATATTGGATTGACTAAAGGACCCTCATATGTGAAGCTCCTTCTATGAATATGACCTCTTTAATTATTCTTCTACTTTTTCATCTGTTTAGCATGTTTTACATCCTGCTGTTTTAGTTACTAATCTTTTACTCTTTTTCAAGGCTGTGTTGTTGATGTTAATTGTATTGGTTTTTGTTGCATTGCTATGGATTTGCCCTAAAACAGACGTGGGAGATACAGTCCCCTCCATTTTCATGGCTTCTGTTGCCACCCATAAATGTGGTTATTTTGCCAAATTCACCAGAAATATATCATTACCAAGAAATCAGAGAGCAGACACTTTTTTAAAAGGTGACTCTCATATTTAACTTCAAAATGCATGCACTGAAGTAGTAAAATCGGCAGGGGTGGTACAACCAATGGTACAACCAATGGGTTCAGGGTAGAGGAGGGGGCGATAAATACCCAGTCCCAGATATTGACCATCCTTGCACTACAAATGGGATTTAACTACAGTCATTCCTCCACATTTGTGGATTTGATTTCTGCAAATTGGATTATTCACAAATTTGACTAAGGTTCTCATTGCATTTTCTAAAATATGTGTCCTAGGATGCTTGGAGCCTTCTTTGGGGATGAAGCCCCATGCTGGCCATCACACGACATTGTATGACTTTTGGTGGAGGCCCTGCCTCAAATCAAGGTAGAAGCATCCTTGGACACTTCCCCAAAACATGGGACCCTTCTCATTTTGTGTTGGCTCTAATGGAGTCAACACACTTCTGCTCTGTTTGGGCGATAGCCACCCCTTGTGTGATGGGGGAAGTGTCACTGCACTGAAGCAGCACACCGAGAAATGGAGTCCTCCCTCGAGCCTGACGTTTCGCCACACTTGCTGGTGAAATGACATGTGGGGAGGACTCCGTTGTGTGATAAGGTCGTAAAAATATTATCTCTTGGGCTACAGCGTGGCTCTATGGACAGTTTCTTCCAGTCATACTGAAGGACCTAGAAAACCTGTGTTCAGGGGAAATGGTCTCTTTAAGAATGTGCTAGGCCCTCCCCAATGATTCTATATGGCATGTCTAAACGAAATAATTTAATAGCAATCGGTCACATCCCTGGTTTCAGGTAACTGCAGGCTGACCAGGAATGTGTCCCCCATGGATATGGGGATCTCACTGGATTAAAAACCCATAAAGGAAATCTTGATTTTGCCATTTTACATAAGTGATACCATTGTATATAATGAGACTTGAGCATCCATGGATTTGTATATCCATGGGGGTGGGGGTTTGGAATTAAAACTAGTAGATACAAAACTACTGTATTTTAAACTCCCTTATGAGCAAACATAATAGCTTCTATCTGAGATGATGAATGTAACTTAAGTCTTGTAGCATCAAAAACAAAACAAATTGTAAGGACCTTTCATTGGACGTAAGGCCAAGGTAACAATTCAACTTATTTCTGAGTAAACTTATTTTTGAAAGTTAAGGAATGCCTACACTTTCAGTGTGTGTTACCTGTAAATAGGGTTCCAGAGCAACAAATTCCTGGAAGTCCTTCAACTGGCCAGTCCGAACATATTTTTCTATCCTCTCCTTTCTAAGTTCTGGTGCCAGCTCTGGATGGGCCCTTTCTCTTGGGACATGCAGTACAGTCTCGTTCACATAAACAGACCAGAGATTGTTGGTGGCTTCAGTGGTATGGGGTGGAAACTCCCACCCACTCTGCTGCTGATTGTGGCCCAGTTCATGGATGGCACCCCATAGACCATTGTCATGGATGGACTTCACATCTGTCATTTCCTGCACTGAATCCAAGTGATACATGATAGGGTAGCCAGCATGCATCCAACCTAAGAAGAGGAAAATGAAGGAGAAAGATATGTGAAAAAACAACAACACACATATTTGAATAGTGGTTCAAAGAATCAGCTGCAGATAAAACCATATATGTAAGGGTACTTCTATGTATGTATTTCACCAACAGGCTAGTAGGCATGTACAACCTCTATACATGGCATTCATTGACCTTGCAAAGGCATTCGACACAGTGAATCACAGTACTCTTTGGACCATCCTCCAAAAAATTGGGTGTCCTAACAAATTTGTGAACATTCTGCAACTCCTCCATGATGACATGATGGCAACAGCATTGGACAGCAATGGCTCCCAAAGTGACCCATTTAAGGTGGAATCAGAATCAAACAGGGATGTGTTATTGCCCCAACCTTTTCCCCCCATCTTCATCATTATGATACTTCATCTTGTTGATGGGAAGCTTCCCACTGGAGTGGAAATCATCTATCGGACAGATGGCAAGCTATTTAACCTCAGCAGACTGAAAGCTAAAACCAAGGTTACAACAACATCTGTTATAGAACTCCAATATGCTGATGACAATGTCATCTGTCCAGATTTAGAAGAAGACCTACAAGCCACTCTAAAAACCTTTGTAGAAGCATACAAGAAGCTCGGCCTGTCATTGAACACTGAGAAAACTGAACTGCTCTTCCAGTAGTCACCAGCAAATCCCTCTCCAGTGCCAGAAATACAGTTTAATGGTGTAACATTAGAAAATGTTGATCATTTCCGCTACCTTAGCAGCCACCTCTCCACAAAAGTCAGCATTGATACTGAAATACAACACCGCCTGAGATCTGCGAGTGCAGCATTTTTCCGAATGAAGCAGAGAGTGTTTGAGGACCGGGACATCCGTAGGGATACCAGYGTGCTTGTTTATAAAGCTATTGTCCWCCCAATTCTGCTATACGCCTGTGAAACATGGACTATCTACAGACYTCACATGCAACTCCTAGATCAATTCCATCAGTGTTGCCTGTGAAAAATCCTGCAAATATCTTGAGAAGACAAGCAGACAAATGTCAGCGTGCTGGAAGAAACAAAGACCACTAGCACTGAAGCAGTGGTCCTCCACCCTCAACTCCGCTGYACCACTCATGTTGTCCGGATGCCTGACCACCATCTCCTGAAGCAGTTGCTCTACTCCAAACTCAGGAATGGAAAACGGAATGTTGGTGGTCAGGAAAAGAATCATAGAATCATAGAATCAAAGAGTTGGAAGAGACCTCATGGGCCATCCAGTCCAACCCCCCGCCAAGAAGCAGGAATATTGCATTCAAATCACCCCTGACAAATGGCCATCCAGCCTCTGCTTAAAAGCATTRAAAAGAGATTTAAAGATGGGCACAAAACCAACCTTAAAAAASGTGGCATAGACACTGAAAACTGGGAAGCCCTGCTGCAAGTCAGCTGTGACCAGCAGTGCTGTAGAATTTGAAGAGGCATGAGAGAGGCATGAGAGAGAGAAACATGCCAAGAGGAAGGTGCGTCAAGCTAACCCCGACTGAGACTGCCTTCCACCTGAAAACCGATGCCCTCACTGTGGGAGAACATGCAGATCAAGAATAGGGCTCCACAGTCACCTATGGACCCACCGCCAGTACACCGATCTTGGAAAACAATCCTACTCAGACAACAAGAGATCGCCTAAGTAAAAGCCATCCATTTGTACAGAATCATTGATTAAATAACCAGTGCAAATTATCATCATTCTCAACATTGGCCTACTACTAGTAGAAGTTCTATGTTGACATCTTTCACTGGTAACATAAACTAAGCAGTCAGAAAGAATAATCTCCCTTTCTGCAATGCTGCAGCTGTTTGAAGCTGTACTTCCAGATTACACCACCCACCACTGTGCCACTTCTCTCTTTATTCTTCCCTATTAAAGACATTTTACAATTGCAGAGTGTCTGCCTAATAGATTATTTTCTGGAGAATGAAACAAGTGCTGCTATAGAAGATTTTAGCTTGTGCATGCCATTGCACAAGGTAAGTTCTGGCACTGAAGTATGATCAGGGGCTAATATTGGGCTTTACCTATCAATAGCCTTTGACAATTTTATCACAGAGAATTGTAGGCCAGCAACAACATCATGCTACTGTGTTGGTTCGTCACCTCCATGCAATAAAGTCCTTGGATAAGTTAGATGAAAAAACATTGCATCACATAAAATTCTACCTCTGCTACTTTTATCTGCATATGTGAGAACCATTTTGTAATACTTGCCAACTGATGTCTGAACATCTGCCACAAGTCTCTCTGGCCTCGGGAACACAGGGGAGACGGATGCCAATTTGGCCACAGCTCTCATCATGTTGTCCCAAATCGTGAAGAGACTGTCTGGGTTGTCGATTTTTTTCGCGTCTTCCGTGGGCACTGTCAAAATCACGTTCTCAGTTTCCAGTTCAGTCCAGGGAGCCGTGGAGTTGCGGATGGTATTCTGCCAGGCGGACAGGCTGGTGTCACCTAGCACATTTTCAAAGTATAGGTTTACTGTATTCTTTTATTTTGGAATATTGTGCAGATTTCAATCATTTGACACACAATGGGTGTTGAGAGGAGCAAAATTATAGAATGGCATTAAAAGTTAAATAATTACATTCCTCAATAATATAATGCAAATAACACCTCTAAGTAGAAATTAGATAGTAGGAACTATGGGTGCAAGAAATCTAAATCAAATTTTTAGATTTTCACGATCTGAACAGTGTCCATCAGAGGCGGCCCTAGGTAATTTTCAACGGTAAGCAAACAGTATTTTGGCGCCGCCCCCCCCCCCCCCCCCCAACCAATCACTGATATATATTTTCTGTTCGTCGGGGAGTTCTGTGTGCCATATTTGGTTCAATTCCATCATTGGTGGAGTTCAGAATGCTCTTTGATTGTAGGTGAACTATACATCCCAGTAACTACAACTCGCATATGTCAAGGTCTATTTTCCCCCAAGAGCGCCTCAAGAGCGGCCCTGGGCAAAATCAACTATACTGCAAATGCTTACTTTGCGTAATGCAGGGGTCCACAAACTTTTTAAACAGAGGGCCAGGTCACAGTCCCTCAAACTGTTGGAGGGCCGGATTATAATTTGAAAAAAATATATGCGCACTGCACATATCTTATTTGTAGTGCAAAAACACTTAAAAACAATACAATAATTAAAATGAAGAACAATTTTAACAAATATAAACTTATTAGCATTTCAACGAGAAGTGTGGACCTCCTTTTGGCTGATGAGAGAGGATTGTTGTTGTTATTGTGTGCTTTCAAATAGTTTCAGACTTAGGTTGACCCTGAGCAAGGGCCGGGTACATGACCTTCGAGGGCCGTATCTGGCCCCCGGGCCTTAGTTTGAGGACCCCTGGCGTAATGGATTGAGCCGCCCCTGGTGTCCATTGATTTTACCATCACCAGATTTATTCCATTTGCTGCTTTTCCAAAATGTTCATACTACATAGATGATGGCTGGCTAGTGCTAAAGGCAGCAACAAAAATAAGAGCAATTGCTACAGGAAATGAAGTAAGAATCGAAGCGGCTCATGTGTAGAAAGAAATAGTTGTTGGAAATGCCAACAAAGAACTGACACAGGTCAGATTACTCATATGATAATCTATCATTAACTGAGCAGTATTAAGTAAAGTTTGTGCATTCTGCCTGAGTCACCAGCGACATCATTTTATGAAGTAGTACATAGTAGAGGAGTGAGGATTGGATAGGGTTTGGGTAACCGTATCCAACTCCCTCATAGCATATTACCTTGGGCTACACTACCTCTGAGCAAACATACCCTATAGCAGGGGTCCTCAAACTTTTTAAACAGAGGGCCAGGTCACAATCCCTCAAACTGTTGGAGGGCCGGATTATAATTTGAAAAAAACCATGAATGAATTCCTATTCACAGTGCACATATCTTATTTGTAGTGGAAAAACACTTAAAAACAAAACAATAATTAAAATGAAGAACAATTTTAACAAATATAAACTTATTAGTATTTCAATGGGAAGTGTGGGCCTGCTTTTGGCTGATGAGATAGGATTGTTGTTGCTTTTGTGTGCTTTCAAGTCATTTCAGACTTAGGTTGACCCTGAGCGAGGGTCGGTAAATGACCTTGGAGGGCCGTATCCAGCCCCCAGCCCTTAGTTTGAGGACCCCTGCCCTATAGAATGATTTGGGGATTAATAGAGAAAGGACAACCATGAATAGTGTGTGTGAGGGTTGATAAATGTAAATAAGCAGAAGCTTTACCACAGTTATTAAACCAAGATATACCCCGCAGTATAATAAAGTGTCACTCAGGCTTGTGTAACAAGTAATAGTATCTTTACATCATTTCAAAAGTTCAAACAGGGCAACAATATATACAACAGTCTTTTTCAATTCGGGCAGAGAACAGAAGGAATAAAACAGTCCTTTTAAATAGTCTTTAAAATATGCCTTAAAAATTATCAGTCTTCAGATAGTTGGCAGCCAGCACTCTCTTCACTGTCCAAAATGAAAGTTGCAGTTAAAACCGTTGGTCTCAACAGCAGGTCAGAGACAGCAGCCAATCAGAGATTTGGCCCCTGGCATGCTCAGCCAACCAGCTGCCAATACATGTCTTTCCAGTTAACCCATTTCATCATGGCATCCCTTTTCAAATCCTCATAGTGTGCATTCCCAGTAGAGTAAAAAACCAGCAACAATATTATTTTATCATGCACAGATCTTCCCAGTAGAATTCTCATCTGTTTACCTTTTTAAATCATCAGTTTTGCTCTGATTACACAAAGCTACGGATACATGAAAATATAAGAGGCCCCTGAGGTTGGCTGCCATCCACTTCACAGGGCAAAGTGCAGAGGAACATAAAGACAAAACAACACTAATGAAAGAGAGAAAGCATGCTCTGGATTTCTTCAAAGACACATATCAAATATTTTTTAATACTAGAAAACAACCTGCTTTCTTTCTTACCATGCTTAAAATAAGGTGCCTTGACCGCCCCTTCTATAGTGATGGAAATGGGTCCCAGTGAGGTTTCTGCAGGCACGATAACATATATGAGTCCGCCCCACAAGCTGGAGACTTCCATCCGGGGATTCTTGACTTCAAATCGCCTTATAACCACTGGAGCACGCTTCCATTGCTCAGCCTCGCTGAGATCATCTGAGTGACAGCCAATCTGGACCTACAAAACAAACTTCATGGTAGACAGAGCAAACTTCATGGTAGACATGCCCCATACTATCTGTCTGGTTTCTCTGACATGCAAGAGAATGTCATATTGGGGATCAATGGATTGTGCAATCTTAACTGGCCAAGATGACTACTGGTCCTCGGTCTAACCTTTGTGATGACAGTGTGGTTGTGTCTCTAGCCTAGAAGATATTTTGAGTTGGTTTAACTTAACTTCTGCATCACTCTGTCTCTTTGGCCCCCTCCACACAGCTGAATAAAATCCCACATTATCTGTTTTGAACTGGAATATATGGCAGTGTGGACTCCAATAAGCCAGTTCAAAGCAGATATTGTGGGATTTTCTGTCTTGATATTCTGGGATATAAGGCTGTGTGGAAAGGCCCTTTTTGGCTTTTCTGCCAGGAGTGCTAAGCAAGCAGAGTACAACTAGCAACAGATTACTCTTTGAGCTGATACCAAAGTTAACCCTTCAATCTCTCAAGTTCTAGATCTACTAGAGCAGGGGTCCTCAAACTTTTTAAACATAGGAACAGGTTACAGTCCCTCAAACTGCTGAAGGGCCGGATTATAATTTGAAAAAAAAAACCATGAATGAATTCCTATTCACAGTGCACAAATCTTATTTGTAGTGGAAAAACACTTAAAAACAATACAATAATTAAAATGAAGAACAATTTTAACAAATATAAACTTATTAATATTTCAATGAGATGTGTGTGCCTGCTTTTGGCTGATGAGATAGGATTGTTGTCATTGTTGTGTGCTTTCAAGTCATTTCAGACTTATGTTGACCCTGAGCAAGGGCCGGGTAAATGACCTTGGAGGGCCGTATGTGGTCCCCGGGCCTTCGTTTGAGAACCCCTGCTATAATAGCTAGTTGTATTTTGGAGTGAGGGAGGACACAAGACTGCATTTTCTACATAATATGGATTTCATGGAGAACTGAGATAGGGAGAAAGCAGTGTTCACTGGGAAGAAGCATAGAACTCTGGGAAAATAGTTTAGGAAGGCAAGGAGATGAGAATGTAAAAGGCCATGCCTAAAGCTACATTTTCCAAAATGCAGTGCTTAGCATCAGAAAGCCCCAATTAGGATGGGGGAGGGGAAGAGAGATCTCGTAATACTGGAATCTGGGATCATTTCCATGAAGCTGAATGGTGAAATGTTTAGAAGATATATAGATGGGAAGTCAATATAATAGGATGTGTGATCACTTTTGTACTGACAGTGTACAAATGTTAGGAAACATTATTCAAAAATGTATGTTTGAAGAATTTGTTAACTGGAATATCTAAATAAGGGGAAAGTCAGAAAGTGAAAGGGGAAGAAGGAGGGGAGGTGAACATGAGATGAGAGATAGAGAGAGATGTGAGGAGAGATGAGAGAGAGGGACAGTAGGAGGGAGAAAGGGGGGGGGGTGGGGGGGGGGGGGGGGGGGGGGGGGGGGGGGGGGGGGGGGGGGGGGGGGGGGGTGGTAGTTTAATGTCCTCTGGGTTTTTTTCTTTCTTTTTTCTTTCTTTTTTTTTTTTTTTTTTTTTGTTTTTTTTTTTTTTTTTTTTTTCTTTCTTTCTTCCTCCTTCCCTCCCCCCCTTCTTTCTTTTTTTCTTCTCTTTCCCCTCCTTACTGCATTATTTAAACTGTTATGTTTATTCATATCATGATCTGATCACCATGCTCAATATATCCCATATGCATGGGGGTATTGGGGTAACGATACAAAAGGTTTGCTAAGGCAGACCCTCTTTCACTCAGACTCAGCCCCCCCCCCCCCCACAACCCCCCCCGAAAAAAACCCCCCCCCCCCCCCCCCCGAATCGAAATCCTGGCTACAGGCCTGGCTGGAATAATAATAGCAGTAGGATGGGAAAGCAGTAAAAGTGGTCACGAAGCTAAATTAGTACCTGTAAATTTGAATTGATGACATTGGATGGAAAGACCAAGGTAGCAGTTTTACCTGGAGGAAGGTAAAAACCCGTGCTTCGCCATGCTTCCTGACCTGAAAGAGGTCACAGTAGAAAAGATGTCTGTTAGTTATAGCACTTGGAATCATAGTCTGTCTTATTTTTTAACTTGTATGAATCCTAATAATATTGTCATTTTTCTTAAAATTTTAACATGCTTTAGTTTAAAAAATTTTTCTTAAAATTTTAACATGCTATAGTTTAATAACTTAAAGTTCATCTGATTGGTGAGGATAATAGTTTGCCGTAGGCCATTACAAATTCAGGGAAGAGATAAAATTTGAAGCAGGGATTTCCCAGCCCATGGTAAATATAAACCAATCGGAATGTCAAAAACTAGACCTGTACAGAGTTGATTAACAAATAAATAAACAAATACACGTAAATAAAATCTTACCATTGTTCTTTCCATTTACTGAAATAGCTTGACGTGGGGCTATGGGATAATTTGTTGCAAAATGTTGATTCAGCTTGGGTAGGAGCTTCTGGAACTCTGGGAATTTGTTGTAGAGTTCTGAAGACAAGATGATACAAAATGCCTCATCTGAATGGGCTTTGATTGGGTTACTGGCACTGATATCAGGAATTCCATTCTGCACGACCAGGTCCATCAGATCTTCATCAACAGAGAAGAAGGGAGGAGAATTGGTGGCAGGGATGTTGATGAATGCTGCAGAATCTTGTCCTAACTTTTGAACCCATGAGGAATATGGTGATGTTAGAGGTTGGTGATTCTGAAGGTGTTGCTTGAATTGAAACAATGCCTTCCGGAAGTGATAGGAGGAAGAAAGCTCTTTGATGGGTTGAACTGAGTAGCTATCACCAGGTACGTTCAGGACATTCTGAAGGATTCCAATTCCAAACTTGTTCAGTATCTTGTTTCCTGGATATACAGCCATGGCATTGGAAGCAATGTTCTCGACAGATGACCATGCTTGTCCCCCAATAAGGAGACCACCTCCTTCAGAAACAAACTCATGAATTTTTTCCATCTCTCTATCACTATATGCTGAACAACAATACACACTTAGGTCATCTTTAAGTGATGTTACTTCGCATGGGATATTTGCGAGTTTTAACATGGAGTAAAGATCCTGGAGGTCATCAGCCACACCAACTTTCTTTACCTTTCCAGAACTCAGCCAGTCAATTGCATTAAGAAGAAATGTTTTCATTGATGATTTGGTGAATAGGTTTTCCTGAGAAGCTACAATGACACGTCCCCGGCCATAATAAGCAGCAGCAAGCAATGCTTCATGATCGGCATCTATGCCAAGTGGAAATGCCAATGTTCCATGGATTAGAAGCTTAGAAGCAACAATATTCTGCAAATCGATCTTCGATACCCCTTTTAGAATAGCTTTTAAATCACTTTGGGTGTCTAGTCCATGCCTGGAAAAAAGCAAGATAGATCTTTACCATGCTACAGATAAACATTGCCACAATTTGCTACTCTGGTCACTGACAGATCAGAAAAACCTCAGAAAATCCTCTGATGTTGTATATAGGTTTTAATATTAAACACCGTGGCTCTTTTATTAGGATCTGTAGGAAGTTTTCTGTTGAAACTTCCTGTTTGGGAAAGGGCAATTATGTTTCAGGGCCAGTGCCTACAGCCGAACCCTATCCAAAGACCATCTGAGAATGGCCTGAACTATTAAAAAATGCCAGAAAAACACAAAATGAAAATATGGATGAACGGACTACTTCTAGTTTTGACCAAAAAAAGTACATTTTTTGTCGTGTCAGGAGCAACTTGAGAAACTGATGTGAGGGAATTAGCCATCTGCAAGAATGTTGCCCAGGGGACACCCGGACGTTTTGATGTGTTACCATCCTTGTGGGAGGCTCCTCTCATGGTCCCGCATGAGGAGGACATGTTAAACAGTAAATAGAGGGTCCTGCAACAAATTTAAAAGATGAACATCCCCTCTTACTCCCCATGTAATTGTTTCAGTTCCACCATCTAGGAAAGGCTCTGTGTGTGTTTTGGATTCCTAGGATGACTAAGACTCCATCTACACTGCCATATAATGTAGTTCAGTGCATTATCAGACTTCATTATATGTCATTTTCATTATGCTGTTGGAAAGTGCTGCATGTAAGTTAATAATAATTGTTCCGTCTTCCAGGAGCAGGGTTTATGTTGCCTTTTAGCTGCATGGGATAGCATTCCTTTGCATTTCCCCAGGGTTGCTATAGACCCAGCAGCACCCTGGTAGTTAAACAGTATCAGAGTCTGGAAAGCCAGGCTGCAGGCTCTCTGCAGTCATTAGTTTAGAAAGTATCTCTTTGGGTTTGGAGTCCGCCCTTTTTTCTGGAGTTGATATCTCCATTTTGGAATCTCCTTTGCCTCCTTCAGTAGAGAAAAAAAGCCTCAGATGTGCTGTTGGTCAGACAGGCAAAGCTCTGAAAAGTCATTGTGAGTACAATTGAGTACAATTGAGATACTGAGATAGATAGATGATAGATAGATAGATAGATAGATAGATAGATAGATAGATAGATAGATAGATAGATAGATAGAATAGGAATTAAGAAAAGCAATTAAGAAATTGAGGTTTTCTTTGGTCGTTTCAGGAGCATCCTGTTGTGAGAGAATTCGCCGTCTGCAAGGACGCTGCCCAGGGGACGCCCAGATGATTTTGATGTTTTATCATCCTTGTGGGAGGCTTCTCTCATGTCCCCACATGAGGAACTGGAGCTGATAGAGGGAGCTCATCCACCTCTCCCTGGATTCGAACCTGTGACCTGTCGGTCTTCAGTCCTGCCGGCACAGGGCTTTAACCCACTGTACCACCGGGGGCTCCAAGAAATTGAGTTATAGATAGAAATTGAGTTATTGAGAAATAGAGAGAAATAGTTATTGAATACTATTGAGCATTACTTCATCTTCAAAGCTAACCTGTAGCTTAGATAGGGGAAGACCTGTTCTTTCTAACCATAGCAGCTCAGGGTTAGGGTGAAAGATCCCAGGATTTTTTCTACCATTTGGAGAATAGTTACCTCGGTAATTGAAGAAAAAGGGAAAGAAAGAACATCTCTATGGTTTCTCAAATTGATTGTGTTGTAACTTTATCAAGCTGTGCCAAGTCTTCCAAGGACTTTGGAAATAAATATTTTGTTGATGTTCATATCTTGACTGGCATTAGTTGCTGAAAGTATTGAGTTAATGCTTCAAAGAAAGACCCCCAGCAGTTTTCCCAGATAAAGAGAGAATCACATCTTAGTTTTACCCTTACAGCGTATGGGTGTGACGGCACAATAATAGTAAAAACTTTATTTATATTCTGCCCTATCTCCCCAAGGGAACTCAGGGCAGATTACAACACACTAAAAACACAAAAACACATAGAAGCAAACATTCAGTGCCTCACCACAATGCAGACAAGGACACAAGGTTCTCTTGCTAGCTTTGTTTATGACTTTATGTGGACTGTTGACTTGTTAGACAATTCTTGGACCAGCTGATAGTCAGCCTCTTGCTTCCTCTTGCAATCTATTTTGCTGGATAACTTATGACTAACCTAGGCCCTCATCACAAAGCAGGATGTTTCACCTGGCATCGTCGCGAAAGGAGAGGGGTAGTGGGGGGAATCTGTTACCCCGCACTCGGCTCCCTGTTGGCGATAATTTGCCCATCTCACAGGGGAAGCATTGCCCTTCTCCACTGGAGTCAGCACAACATGGGAAGACTCCAGAGATGCTTCCACCCTGGTTGGGTGTGGGGTAAACCACTGAAAATCACCTAACCTCGTGTGATGACCAGTGTGAGGCTCCATCCACAAGACAGGGTGAAAGCATCCTAGGATGCTACTTCCCTCCATCTGATGAGGTTCCTAGACAGAATGTACTATTTGACAGCTCTTGTCAAAACACTTTCTATCATGTGAAGCTGTAAAAGGTCCCACTGCTTATATAGCATAGAACTGTATATGCATTTTTTAAGAGTTTATACACTTTTTGTTCATACCTTGAGTATTTTCTTAAAATAAAGCTTTGGGTCTTTTTAATACACATGTATAGTAGATGGGATATGTAAACTGATAGTGTCCTTCCAAGAGCAATACTGTGAATAAGATATATACTTACTCGGTGATGAGTGGAATCCTTGGCATCTCTTGGGATACTGGGAAGGTCCCTTTTTCTCCCACGTTGCCAGTGAAGTACACGCCAGCCACACCAGTCACCCAGTTGCCAGGAAACCCACGAAGCACTTTCTGCATTCCATGTTGCCCTGCCCAATGCCAGGCCTGCCCTCCAATAAGCAACCCCCCACCTCTCTTTACAAACTGCACAAGGTCATCAGCATTCTGCTCATTATAGGCATCTGTGCAATACACTCCTAGCTTAGCCCCCAGAGTTGCACCTTGTTGCACTTTCATGCCATCACGGAGCAACATTTGAGACAGGGCATCCAAGCTTGCATCAACACCCACCTCGGCCGCTTGGGAGGGTTTGAGCCACTGCAAAGCATTTTTAAGGAATGGCAAGAACTGGGGATCTTTCAGAATGCCTTCATGTGAAACAACTACCATTCGGCCCTTCCCATATTGGGAAGAGGCAATTAGCACTTGCCCACTGTTACTCACAAGCACCGGAAAAGCTTTGTCTCCTATGAGCAGCAGTTCACTGGGGTAGAGATCCCCAGTGAAATCGAAGGAATGGACACCCCGCACCAGAGACGCATAAACCTGTTTGGAATCCATTTAGGATCTTTGCAATGGATCTTTGGAAGACAAAGCTGAAAAACAGAAAGAAACACAACACAAATGCACACATATTGAATAGTCACTTACACATCTAAAACGAATACATAGAAAATTTCTAAAAACAATTCACTGAACTCTAGCAAACTGGACTTTTTGGTCAATTCTTTAAAAACTGCTTTGAATGTCTGCCTGTAAAAAAAAGAGCTGCTTTGGAAGGAAACAGGAGCGTTCTGGTGTTTCTTGGGATCGAATTCCAGAGGCTAAAGAAAACCATTGACACCCCATATACACTGTCATATTAAATCCAGATTATCTGCTTTGAACTGGATTATATGGTAGACTCACAAAGAGAGATACTATCTGTCATGATCACATCCATATTTCCTTACAACAGCTTTAAAAAGTACAAAGCATTAACTTTACCAGACTTGAGTTCCCTCTAGAATCGCCTGTGAATTATAGCACCGCTATGGTGCCTTTATAGAAAGTTTGAAAAAATGCAATGGGCGTCGAAATTATTGTAATAAGCTTTCTGTCACTCACTTGTCACAAAAACATGACAACTAGCTGCCAATAAAGGAAAAACCCCACCTTAATCTCATTTAAGCTTTTCCTCATTTTTCTACCCATAAATGATCTCAAATAAATGAAACAATGGTATATTTCAATAACATGTCCAAAATTGTAGCAGGGAAATCCTTTCAAATCTCAGCAGTCTTTACTTCTAGAAACCACATAAGGAGACTGAATTCAATGGGACTTGGGTTTTGTTCAAATCTGTTCTGACTTATGCTGACCCGATCATAGGGCTTTCTTGACACGTGCTTTACCAAGAGGTGCAACATAACCCTAACTAGCTATGCTGTACCTCAGGGCCTCCTGACTAGATTATGATGTACCTCTGTGTAAAACAACTGATCTATTGTTAATCTCCCCATCACAGATTCTATGACAGAAACTAGTTGTGCTGGACATCAAATGTAGAGTTGAATTGCAGAAGACTTGGGGAAATGAACATACTGTAATATGTTGTCTGAGACAACACAATGTGAAAATCATAGTTATCCTTAGAGCCATGGTTCCCAACCTGTGGTCCATTGACCACCAGTGCTTCAAAGAACTAATATATGGTCTGTGACCTCACCATTACTACAGCATTGCAATGAAAGCAACTGGTCTCGTGAAATAATAATAATAATAACCCTCTTATAGTGCCAAGGCTTATTAAATGTGGTTTTCTGAGGGTGAGCCTGTCATCGAGGGCATCCCAGGCCCCTGCTTTCAAGCTGGTGTGACTAGCAGCAGGGAGTTCTGCAGTTCCTGAGTGCAAAGATTGGGCCAGACTGATGAAATGTGCCCCAACAGCAAGCTCAGCCAGGGACTCTGCACAGCCGTAGGCTCTCTCCTTTCACTTCCCTACCAAGCCCCAACTTTGTAACAAATCCCCAAATAAAGATTAATGAAATTGCAACTTCTAACTCTCTAGCTTGATACTTTGTGTCTTTCCTTGCCTGAAACTATCCCAATGCATGAAACTAACCTTTTCCAGGCCGCGGGAGACTGCAGGCCTGCCCGGAATGCCTTCCCGGCGTTCCGGGGAGGCCGGTCTTTTCCCCTGAAACTGTTTCTCCTTTCAAAACTTGCCATGACAAACATTCACCCCAGTGCCTCCATTGTGTCCTATCTGATGGCGACAGGAAGACTCGGATAAAGTAATCAATGTTTATCACAAATCTATTCAAAGACAATAGGCTGGGCACCCGTTATCCCATCAGCCAATCACCTGCGAGCTGGGTGGAGGGCGGGAATTTTGAAACTTCTAAACCTGTAAACCCTATAAAAATGTCTCTGATCTCTTTACTGGTATGCTCTGTAGGTGAATGATTGCTACATTGCATCCTTTTCAGCCGAATCGTTAATAAACACCTCGGTGCCTCTTCTTCAACTTTGGTGAGATTTATCTTGAATTATTTTAATTCAATAAAATTGCTGAAATCAGGCTTCTCTAGCTCGCCAAAGTAGCGATCCCTCTTTGGTGGGGTCTCAGGGTCCCTCCTCCTGGGGAAGACCCTCCTAAAGTTCCTATCAACTTCAAGCTGATGGTGACTACTGGATGGCATATGTTCTGTATCAGAAAACAGAGCTGATGTGGTCTATCTAATGTAGTTTTCTGACTCAGCACCCCAAACAACCAAACTGAATCTAAAGTTAACCAAACATGGATTTGTAACCCTTTTGGGACTAATGTTGGAGAGTGGTTCCTGGTCAAAAAAAGGTTGGGAATCAGTGTTTTAGAGAGAAAATTGGAATCTGTGCATTTAAAAAGGAAAATAAACACTCTGATATTGGGCGTGGATGAGGCCAGTATGAAGTTATTCAGGAGAAAAAAATCCAGAACAAAGTTCCATGTTAAATCTAGCCAGATGACCACAGCACTTGACATAGAATCCGTCTACTGAATGGCTGACAGCAATGAAGCCACTGAAGAATTACTGAAAGACTCAAACATTCCCAAAGCTGCTACTGAATAATAAAAACAGGACTCCAGTATGGGAGGTATGGGTGGGGAAGATATGCAAAGCTAAACTAAAGTAGACTTTTACAAATTATGGTCTAAACATAATGGCCGCTTTGAGTCGCTGATAGGCTGAGAAAGGCGATATACAAATGCAGTAAATAAATAAATAAATAAATAAATAAATAAATAAATAAAATAACATACTGTTCTATTATCTGGGTGGAGGCCACAAGGGGGTGCTAGAGAGAGAGAAGGGTAGTCCATTTCATGGGGGAAGGCGGTTAAGTAGTTTAACCACACACCCCCACCCCCACCCCCCACCCCTGTGTGTCCTGTTATTCTCTCCACCCATTTCGCTGTTCTGAAAACAACCATTGTGTATGACTTGGGAAGGAAGAGGGAGAGGGAAAACTAAGTAAAATAGTTTTCCTCCCTCAACTCCCCCCCCCCCAATAAAATTGACTATCTTTCTCTGTCCAGGACCCAATTGGAGTCCGCATGGATAATAGAACAGTACCTAAAATAATTTTAAAACTTCATTTATCTTAAAGATATTACCAAAAATGTAACCAGAAGTATATTTGATCAGCAGAGCTAATCCGAGAAAACTAGGGCCCCATCTACACTGCCATATAAAATCCAGATTATTTGACAGTGTAGATTGTATATTAAAGGTTAAAAAAGGTATATGGAAACAAAGTGATTTTGATGCTGTATGGGGAAGATTATGGGCCCCCGGTGGCGCAATGGGTTAAAGCACTGAGCTGCTGAGCTTGTTGATTGAAAGGTCGCAGGTTCGATTCCGGGGAGCGGCGTGAGCTTCCGCTGTCAGCCCTAGCTTCTGCCAACCTAGCAGTTCGAAAACATGCAAATGTGAGTAGATCAATAGGTACCGCTCCGGCGGGAAGGTAACAGCGCTCCATGCAGTCATGCTGGCCACATGACCTTGGAGATGTCTACAGACAACGCTGGCTCTTCGGCTTAGAAATGGAGATGAGCACCACACCCCAGAGTCAGACATGACTGGACTTAATGTCAGGGGACTACCTTTACCTTTTTATGGGGAAGATTTGTGGTAAATGGTCTAAAAAACAAGGAAGGAAAATTACCGCCACACGAAGAAATGAGATTTTGGACAGATGATATGCAAGAATAGTGGTTTGACACGGGTGGAGGGGAGCACTGTGGTGAAATAAAAAAGGGGAAAATGTTAAAGAACAAATGTATAACGAATGTAATAATTGTGACAAATCAATAAAAAATATTATAAAAAAAATCTGACAGTGTAGATTCATATAATCCAGTTCAAACGAGATTATCTGGATTATCTACTTTGATAATCTGGATTACATAGCAGTATAGATCCAGCCTTAGTTAAATAAGTATTTTAGTATGTCCCTTCAATTTTCAGTTGCTAGCTCATGAGACAGTGTATTCAAAAATGTATTTATCTGCAGACTTGGCAGTCAGATCAACAGAGTGTTTAGCATTATTGGAAGGACTTCCAATGGTGGACAGAAGCATAAAGAATGAGGAAATAACCTAGGGCAGATCTACATAGACCCAGTATACTGGGGCTGATCTGGCATGGTGTACATCGGATGGGGTCTGAGATGCAAGAGGAAGTCCTGCCCCCCCCCCCCCCAGTTCAAGGAGACCTGCATGGGAGAGGCTGAAGTTGGTGTCATTTCTTGCGGAATCCTCTAGTGAGCCTATAATCACCTACTTAAGAGGATTATGCTGTTTGTTTTATCATTTTTTTCATTACATTCACAGTCTTGTTTGTTTTATTTTGTACAATGTATTCATAGTCCTAGTTGCAGATCTTTGCAATTGTTGATTTCATCAAATATCCTACATCTGGACACACCTTGAGAAGAAAACATCCCTGACTTTTGTTATTGCTGGTTTTAGATTATGGGAGAATACAACTAGTTGTCAAAATGCCTCCCTTAAAACTTGAACCCAGTCAGTTTGAGGCTTGAAGCAGCTTAGGAAAGAAAGGTGAGTGAAGGAAAAATGACTGGGTCTCCCTTTTTAAAGTCTGAACCCAGCCAGCTTACTGAGGCTTAGGCTTCCCTCTGTGTGATGAGAGGGATGAGGAGGAAGCCTGGATGGTGTGGGACACGTGGCAGGTGCCACGGCAGCATGTGTGAAGAGGTACAAGGAGAAAGGGGAGCCTCATAAGTTCCCTATTACCACCAATGGGCCGGATCTTCCTGGATCTTTTTTCTTGACCGAATTGGGGGAGCTCCCAAAAAATGGATCTGGGGGTCCACCAAAATATGGATACCAAAAACAGAATGGGGTTTAATCAAATTGCACACTTTTAGTGTAGTCGTTTCACAACGTCTCTAAAACAGAACTGCTGACCATTTGTCTCCAAAGAACCGAATCTAGCTTTCATGTTGTTTCCATTGAATTGAACAGAAATTAACATGTCATGTGTTGCACCTCAGCTAGGGTTCACCTTGCTCAAGCACTCACCAGGAAGCCAAACATAGGAATGAACAGTTTATTGAAAAAGCACACACAACAAAAGAGTAAAAAATCCAAATAGGTAAAATAAAAGGAGTCCCAAAAGCCAGAGATAAATCTCCAATGCAAAGGTTAAGACATGAACATAAATCCAAGGAGCAGGTTATAATCATGAGCTTGATTAATCCAAAAGAAAAGGAATAAAACATCAACTTGACTAATCCAAGACTCAAAGAACAATACATCAGTGTGAGTTCATGCTAAAATCCCCAAGACTTAAAGCAAAACTTGATCAGGACATGACTTGAAGCGAGAACCAAGGCAGGAGCTTCTTGCTTTGTCTGCTATATTGCTTGATCTGAGAATTGAAAGCTATTCTTTCCCTAATTAGGGAAAACAAAGCATGAAAGCATTCCTTCGGCCTTGAGTAGTCTCTCTCGGTCTCACTTTCCCATGGCCTGGCTTGCACCT